TAACACGTACCCTCCATCAAGCCTGATTTTACATCTTAACTGTTGCTTCTACTTCTAGCAGAGAATTCTGAGGTCAAGCCAGCTACCTACAACCTAGCAAAAGAGACTGTAAAAGTGAACACCGGGTTTTTTCAGATTCTTTCTTAATTGGGTAGCTTTACTGAGTTATGTACAGTTCTAGGCATGAGATACAGTAGGAAAATACAAATCCTATCTTTATAAAAGTCACATTATACCAGTGTAGGAATGAAGTAGTCCAACAACTAAATTATTACCCAAATAAGACTCATTCCATGGGGAATAAATAATACAAAGGAAGGTGAGTTAAATTCTAGGCACCCACATGACAAAAATGACCTATTTGATTTTCTAGGAATATATAATGTTTTATAGAGTATACACACTAAAGGTTTTTAATACATATTGCTAATTTCTCTTAAAATAAAGTTATACAAATTTGTACTCCCTTTGCTAATCTATGTAAAATTCAATTGCCCAGCATCATCTTAATCTCTGCAAAATGGAGAAGACTTCATTGCTGTTTTCAATTGGGTTTTGTTGATTCATACTGTATTTGTATTTCTTTTGTACACTGCTTGTGCATATTCACTGCTCACTTTACAATGGCAAATTTTCCTGTCACTTACTTTGCAAATACCTTTCCTGGTTTGTCATTTTGCCTTCTCAGTTTATGGTGTTTTCTTAAGTTTGATTTGCCTATCACCTATTCTTTGGACAAATTTTCTTTCCCCAACTTAAGATTTTACATAAGTCACAATTTTTTTCTGGTATAGTTTAATTTTCCTACATATAACTCTTTAATCTTATAACACCAATATCACTTTCCCTTCTTCCAGGAACATATTTGGATAAGGAATCATTTTTTCTAGGATTGAAATTCTACAAAGTAATTCTGCAAGTTTGGCAGTTTATGTAATTTCTTTTCCAATTCATCATACTATCTCAATACATGAGTAATGACTGGATTATTATAATATTGTGATATGTTTTAATGCCTCACTCTTCAAGCCTCCCACTTTTTTTTTTGGAAGTTCTCATATTTATTTATTTATTTATTTATTTTTGGCTATTTGGGTCACACCCAGTGATTCACAGGGATTACTTCTTTTTTTTTAAATTTATTTATTGAATCGCTGTGGGAAAAGTTACAAAGCTTTCAGGTTTAGGTCTCGGTCATGCAAATATTAATCACATTTCCCTTTACCAATACTTATTTTTCACCACGAAGAACCCCAATAAACTCCCCCCCCCATGCCGGTGAGGCAGATGAATTCTAGTTAACACTCTATCTACTTTGACTAGCTTCATTGTTTCGATAAAAGTTGCACCATTTGCCTCCCACTTTTTCTTTGAAAAAAAATTAAAAATTTCAAAGCTTCTTTCCTGTAATTTCATATCCATAATAGAAATATGCATTTAATATAATTTATGTATGTATGTTCTGAAATGCAAAATGTCTTAATATCAGTTGTTATGTAATTAAAACTACTGGTATGATTAAGTCATAGAGGAAAGCTTATCATCCACAAATATGCTTGACATACCACTTTTTCTCAACAAAGCCATGATACCACTCACAATGTTTACATATTCCTAGAAGCAGCACTGAGCCTTGCATGACTTAGTAATTTGGAAAGAACATGGGAGAACTAAAAACAAAAAAATATTTGGCATCACATAAAACTTACCTTTTACTTTAATCAGCATGGCTACTCTTACCTTCAGAGGCAAAGCTATACTCTGATAATGTCCTTTAGAATATGTGTGACAATAGAGCAATGAACAATTTAAACAAATATTATGAGCCATTAAAGTTCTAGGATTAAATATGTTTATCAACTTAAAATGTTCATTGTAGACTCTGTGTTAATGAGAAGGAAAATTGCATTTAAAAGATATAATTTAGAATTAAGTGACCATATTCTTAATGACTTACTATTGCATCACTCCCAGATCCCATGATCATTTAGCTATCTTCTATTCAGAAAAATCTGAACAAAAAATTTACTAAAATAATTATTTTTCTCTCTATGGCATTTCTTCTTTTAAGTCTTCGTCTCTCTTCCACCTAGATACCTAACACATATTTTAACTACTGATAATGAGGTAAGAAAAGCAGAATGGAGAACTGTTATCAGGTGGATAAAAGGATCATCTCAAGTAACTGAAGAGAGAAAAAAGCCAGTTTCAACCAATTACTGAAGTATGCTTGGAGAACAAAACTCTGACCCTATTTTCAGTTTTCCCCTCATCAAGCACATAATACATATTAATTCACACACTCACTAGCTGCACAGATGCCGATGATACACAAGATGTATGAACATTTAGTCCTTATATATGGTACAACTTTAGCATCACCTAAAATCATACAAGCTATACCTAAACCCTTATGGAGTCTCCCCTTTAGTTCACTCCTTAAAAACCCTTGCCACAAAGGTCAGAGTGCTAGTAGAGTGGGTAGAGCACTTCCCTTGCATATGGTCAATCCTTGTTTGATCCCCAGCAGCCCATGATTACCCAAGCACCACCAGGAGTGATTCCTAAGTGCAGAGTCTGGAGTAACCCTTGAGCATTACCAGGTGTAACCCAAAACAAACAAACAAACAAAAAACTCAAAAAAAAAAAAAAACTAGCTCAAAGATCAAGTAGAAATAACTCCCAGAATACCCACACCCATGCTTCAGATATGTATTATCTTTAAGATAACTTTTTTGCTCTTATCCACATGCTATCTTGTTCTTAAATTTTTTCCTATGAGTAAATAAGAACCGTGCATTCAAGGTGACTCATGTCTCTTGAGAACCAAAGAGCTCAATTTCATTCCAGCCTAGGTGCTGCTATTCCTGAGACTTAGTTGGCAGAGTTTAATTCCCAGACCAAGCAGATGAATCAGACTGGTGTGAGGTGTGACCTTACTGGCCACTTGGAGGTATTGGTAAAGTAAATGCCAAGCAAGAATTTACTTGGGTTCTCCCTTATTTCTTTTCTTTTTTTTTTTTTTTTTGGCCACACACAGTGGTGCTCAGGGCTTACTTCTGCCTTTGTATTCATGAATCACTCCTGGCAGTGCTCATGGGACCATACGCAGTGCCAGGACTTGAGTTGGCCATGTGGAAGCCAAGTGCCTTATACTCATTGAACTATGTCTCCCATCCAAGTCCTCCCTAATTTCTGTGTTCCGAGAAGTTCGGAAAGGAGAGATGAAATTCACTGAGTCCTCCCTTATTTCTGTGGCCTGACTTCCAGCAACAATAATCCTTGGAAATCAAAAAGTAGTAGACGTGATGGAAATCTGTGTGGTCCCTTCTAAAATGGTTCTTAGAAACACTCCATTCGTGGAGGTAAAAGTAGTAGGGGAAAAATATTTCTACTTAATGACAACCACCTGAAGACTTCCCATCTTACCAATCACACCTTTTCACAATTAAACTTAGATGAAAAAATTCAGAATTGGGGGCTGGAGAAATAGTATAGGGGTTAAGGTGCTTCTCTTGCAAGCAGAGGCTGGCGATTGATCCCCAGCACATTATCTAATACCCTAACCCCTACCAGAAGTGATACTCCAGCCCAAGTCAGGCATAAGCTCTGAGTACCACTGAGTCTGACCAAAAACCAAACAAAAATTCAGACATTAAATTTATGGATTCAAAAAAACTATAGTCACCAGATGTTAACTATTGAAGAACACTAGTTTTAAACAAAAAATTACTTTTACAATATCAAAAATCAATGTAGCAGATGAACTTTGTAAGTTCATCTATACTTCCAAGTGGCTGTTCAAAAATGGTCAAAATATTTCTTCTGCGCAACCACCAAAATAGACTATAAGAACAAATGGTGCAAATATTACAAGAAATCATAGTAACCTAGTCTGTTAGGGAAAAAAAAAAACTTTGAAAAATTCAATATACTTAAGATTGGAATCTGATGCCCTGAAGTCAAATAGTGACTTAAGTTGTTTCTATTCAATGACTCATCCATCTCATTTTAAAAATAAGGATATTACGTACAACGTATCCTTAAGACTTAATAAGATTAGGGATAAAACGCTTCCTAGCACTTGCCAGGTATAGTAGGCACTCAAAGGTTAGTTTTCATTTTTTCCATCCTCATTCTGCACTAAAGACACAATCGAAACATCGAGAGCCAACCTGCATGTGACAATCACTTAGCATAGACAGTACGTACTTTATTTCAGAGAGTGACTCAATCAGGTTACATCACATATAATAATATAGAAACAGAGACGTCGTTCTACTTTCACTAGAACTTCCAGACCGGGTTTTGTCTTTTTTTTTTTTTTTTTTTGTCTTTAATCATCTGTACACTAAGGGCGTAGGCATATATTTCTGAACGATTTGTCCAGCTGGAGAATCCATGATTCGATAATCCCATGATCACAGAAAAACCAAGTACGTACATTCAAACGTTCATTGTGATAAGAATTTTTCAACACACACGCTATATTTGAGACGGGGGAGGGGGGCTTTGCTCATTACCCACTAGAAAGGAAGCCTAACGGAAAAAAAAATGCTAGGTCATATTTAAAGGCTTCGGGGATTTCGATATGTCGAATTACGCCACAAGAATAAGGGAAATAATATATATATATATATATATACATATACATATATGTATATAAAAACCACACGGCGTCCTCGGGGTGCCTTTCAGTCTGCGCAAACAGGTCAAGCCAATGAATCACGCAGTAACTGATTCTGGGCTTAGGAGGCAGCGGCTTGGGGGGCGGGCAGGGAGCTGGAGAGTCCCCGGGAAGCGCCCGCGAAGCCGCCTTGGAAGGCTACCACCGAGGAAGCGTGAGTGGGGCGGCGTCCGGCCCGGGAGCGCCGGGAGCCTCGGCCGCGGACCGGCCCCCTCCTCGGCGCCGGGGAGAGGCGGGCGCCCGGCGTCCGCTCTTGGCCCCGGGCCGGCGGGCTCCCGCCGCCAGGCCGCCCCGTCCCGCCTCTTCCCCTTACCACGTAGCCCCCCCACACGTAGAGGAAGTTTTCGTCCACCACCGCGCAGTGGCCGCTGCGCTCCTCGGCCACGCAGAAGAGCTGCGCGTCCGCCATCGCGCAGCCGCTGGGCCGGGCCGCTCGCGACGCGTCTCAGCCCCGGCCCAGGGCGCAGCCTCTCCTCCCGCCCCGCTCCTCCGCGCACGAACGGAACGCGGCGAGGGTCGAGATTGTTGGGGAGGCGGAAGCAGGGCCGCGGCGGCGGGCGGCTGGCGGCGGCCCGGACCCGCGGTGCCCAGGAGCGCCGAGGCGAGCCCCGAGCTGCTCCGGGTTCGACGTGCTCGAAAGATGGCCACGGAGGTTCCTCGGACGCTGCTGGATGGCTCCTACTGCCCGCTCCCCCGGGTGGCCCGTTGCTCCGCTTAGGGTGGCACTGATTGGTCGGTGCGATCTTAGGCTGTTTCTGATTGGACGGCCGCCTCGTGCCGCCGCCGCTGCTGCTTCTGCTGCTGCTGTGATAGACATCGGTCATCAGTATGTTAATAAATTGATGCTAATAGAGGGTTTGCCTTTTCCAATCGACCCCCGGCACAGAAAACTATTCGTAGAATGGTGTGAATATGTGATATATATGTATATGTATATGAATATGTGATATATATCGCATGTATCAGATATATCAGATATTTATAGGACATATGTATTCCCCCCCTAAAACAAGTCACAGTCAGGCGTTAATACCTAGTCTGCCTCCTGTTGCAGGGCATTTTTTAGTTATTTAAATTTTTTGTTTGTTTGATTTGGGCTATGCCTGGCAATGCTCAAGTTTTATTCCTAGCTCTGCACTCAGGAATCACTCCTAATGGTGTTCTGGGATTCTCATGGCATGCTGGGGAAAGAAATACTGGTGGGTCATGTTCAAAGTAAGCGCCTTTCCTGATGTACTATCTATCCGGCCCCATGCAAAGGATTTGTAAAGAGTGCTAAATCACATTTCACTATTGAATCAAGTTCTATTGGATACAGTCATCCCATTCTTCAAGTACTTTTACACCACACTAAAGTTCTGAGTATTTTTAACAAGGACCATATAGCCCACCTGCTGAGATTATTTTCTTTTTCATATATATAAAGGTAAAAAAGGTAAAGGCCCTCCCGTTGATCGTCGATTTGCTCGAGCGGGCCCAGTAATGTCTCCATTGGAGACTTTGTTGTTATTGTGTTTGGCATATCGAATACTCTCGGTAGCTTATATTTTATTAGTGAAACACCATGAGGTACAGTTGTAGATTTACAAATTTTTGTGCTTGGGTTTCGATTAAACAATGATCAAATACCCATCCCTCCACCAGTGCCCATTTTCCACCACCACTAATCCCAGTATCCCTCCCACACCATCCCCCCATCCCACCCTGCCTCTGTGACAGGGCATTTCCTTTTGTTCTCTCTCTCCCTTTGGGTGTTGTGATCTGCAAAAGAGGCATTGAGTGGCAATCATGTTCGGTCCATAGTCTACTTTCAGCATGCATCTCCGATCCTGGGAGGATCCTCCAAACACCCTTTATTTGGTGCTCCCTTCTCTATCTGAGCTGCCCTTTCCCCTAGAATGCCCTGCTGGCCTCTAAGCTATGGAGTAATCCTCCTGGTACTGATCTCGGCTATTCTTGGGTATTAATCTCCTATTTTGTTATTTTATATCCCCCAGATGAATGCAATCTTTCTATGTCTATCCCTCGCTGAGATTATTTTCTAAGGAACTCCTGTAGAGACTTGGACTAGGTCTTAGAACAAAATGCTGCACTGAAGTAAAACTTGGGTCAGCAGGAAGCTAATTCTGTCAGTGCTTTAGAGTTGGGTTTTAAAGAGTTAACCTTTAAAGAGATTGTCAGGGGGATGGAGCAGGAAGGATGCTTCCCTTGCATGCAGCCAACCCAGATTCTAACGTTGACATCCCATATGGTTCCCCCAGCGCTGCCAGGAGTCAGTAAGCCCTGAGTGCAGATCCAAGAATTAGCCCTGAATATTACTAGGCCCAAAACCTAATAATAATAATAATAATAATAATAATGATAATAATAATTTTAAAATTAAGTTATTTGTAGAACTGGATAGTACAACAGGTAGGGCACTTTCTTGCACGCCACCAACCTGGTTCAATTCCTGGCACTTTGTATGGCCCCCTGTTAGGGGCACTAGGTCCCTGCTCACCCTGCCTCCATGAACAGTTGAGCAGGAGAAATGAATGGATGCTAGAAACAAACTGCTAGTAGGGGATGGTGCTCTTCATTGTGACCATAGAATGGGCACAGAGTGTCCACAAGGCGTTATTGGTCTGCAAAGAAAGTATGCATAAGAATTTCTGTTTCTGTACTCTCTGGCTTTGCTGTCTGCAAATTCCTCATTCCCCGGATCAAATATTCTATAAAACTGAGCTCTCACCTTTTTCCTGGGCCAGACCGAAAGAGCATGAACTCCACCTGGGTCCTGACGTGAAATAAATCCTGCCTCTAGGACTTTGTGAGTGAGTGTTTGGTTTTTCAAGTCCAGCCACTTTGGAATCACCAAACACCCACACCTGCCAATTCTGATCCTTGGATGGAACTTGGGGGTCAGGTCATCATATTAAGTGAAGTAAATCAGAGCTAGAACAAATACTGAATGCTCTCACTTATCTGTGTGGTGCAGATTTAAAGAAAAAGTGGGGGACAGGTATGGAAAGATGATACCCCCTTCACCTTGGATTACAAAATTGAGACTAGCAAACTTGGGGTAAAGGGTGAGAGGAAAAGTGTGAGAAAATGAAAGAAGGAAGAGAGGTCTTCTCTACCTCTTCACTAGATCGTGAACCATAGCTTTGACTAGGCCTCTCACTTGGACTGCAAAACCTGCAGACTTAGAGCTGGAGAGATAGTATAGTTGTTAAGGCGCATGCAATGACCCCAATTTGATCCCTGGTACCTCATATGGTACCCTGGGTACCACCAGTGATCCCTAAGCACAGTGTCAGGAGTAAGACCTGTGCACTGCCAGTTATAACTCCAAGAAGAAACCAACCAACCCAACAAACAAAAAATCCATCCAATTAAAAAAAAAAACCAAATAAACCCTCAAACCCAACAAATTCATGCTTAGCATACATGATTTTATTTCCCTCCACCCCAACATCACCTCACACATACAACTAAGGAAATGTGTCTAAGTGTTACAGATCATGCCTGGTATGCAGGAGACCTCAGGCTTAATCCCTAACACTGAACAAAAAACCAAAGCCATTGTCATTTCTAATAGCTTAATAGCACACTCCCACGTGACTCCCAGCCTCCTCAGTGTGCCTTCCTGAAAAATCCTAAGACTGCTAGCAGAGGGCCAAGGACATAACTCAAAGGTTTGGAGCTTGTGCTTTTCTTGTGGAAATCCTAGGTTTGACCCAAGCACCACAAGGTCTTCCAAGCACTTTACCAAGAGTAGCGCCCAAACACCCCTGGGTTTGGCCTCATCCATTTCCAAATTACACTGTAAACCTCAATCACAACATTTCACTTGTCAGTTATTCCTCATAAAACTGAGGTGTGTGTGTGGGGGGGTTATGGTAGAGAAACCCGACAAACCCATACATATAAGTCCCCTGCTTGGGGCTTAGTAGATAGTATGGGGGTTGGAGATAATATAGGGGGTAAAGTACTTGACATGCATATAGTCAGCCCCTGTTCAATCCCTGCTACCTCATATAAACCCTAAGCACAGAATAGCCCCTGAGAACTATTCAGGTTCTCCCCTCCCCCACCAAAAAAAGACTCCCTGAAAATTTATTTCATTTGCATAAATACAAAACTATGGTCTGAGTGCTAGTAAAGGTGTTTTCCTTGAATGCAGGTAACCCCAGTTCAATACCTAATACCCCTTACAGACTCTAAGCACAGAGCCAAATAGCAGGTGTGTGCTCACCCCTGAGAAAAAGAATTCTAGCAAAGTTATTTATATGAAGCTCAAAATATATATAAAACTAATATATCATGCTTAAAAACAGAAACAAGATCGGTTGGGGGTATGGAATTTATGGAAAGGGGTATAGAGAATGTTCTTGGGAAATGGAAATGTCCTCTGTACAGTTGGGTAGTGGTTACATGAATTATACATTAAGCTTATTAAACTGCATTTTTCAGATATTTGCAATGTAAATTATGCCCCAATAAAAATATATATTTTTTTGCTGAGATGGGGTAGAGTACATGCATTGCATATGTGAGGCCTTGCCTTTGATCCCTGGCCAATTTTTCTTTTTTCTTTTTGAGCCACTCCCAGTGAACTCAGGACTTACCTTTGGCATGATTTTTGTTTTGTACTTTTGGATGTTGCTGCTAGCAGACAGGAGGCCCTGAAGTGCTGGGGATCAAACCTGAGTTTTGTGCTCCGGCCTTGGAGCTCTCTCACTTGGATTTGAGGGCTGAGAGAGATAGGGGCTAGAAGAATTTTGGAGTCATGCTCAGATAATTGTTCATAGGATAATTAAGACTGAAGGAGTTAGAGCCAGGGAGATAGCACAAAGGGCAGAAGCACATGCTTGTATACTGGAACCCCAGGTTTGATCTCAAAGCACTACTGGTAGGGACCATCTAGCACTAGACTGGGAGTAGTCCCCCCAGACAAAACAAAAAGACTTCATGAGGTAGTCACGTACAGGAAGACTTTGTGGGAATAGGAATCACCCAAAATGTGAGAGAGTGCAAGGTATCATTTTATCTCAGAATTTTATTCTTTTGGGCCACATCCCATTTTAGTCAGGGACTACTCCTGGTCTAGTGCTGGGGCTTGGGTGAGGGCACTAGGTGTAATCAGGCCTCAGGCATGCAAAACATGGGCTGCAATCTCTTGAGCCAGCTCTCTAGCCACTATAACTGGTTTCTTTCTTTCTTTTTTTTTTTTTGGGGGGGTCACACCCAGCGATGCTCAGGGTTTACTCTTGGCTCAAGCACTCAGGAATTGCTCCTGGCGGGGCTTGGGTGAACCATATGGGATGCTGGGAATCGAACCTATGTCGGCCATGTTGGCTGCGTGCAAGGCAAACGCCCTACCCGCTGTGCTATGGCTCCAGCCCCCTCACTGGTTTCTTTATCTTTCTTTTTTTTTTTATAATTGACTTCTTAATATAAAAGTCGGGACTGGAGCGATAGCACAGCGGCAAGGCGTTTGCCTTGCACGCAGCCAACATGGCCGACCCGAGTTCGATTCCTCCGCCCCTCTCGGAGAGCCTGGCAAGCTACCGAGAGTATCTCGCCTGCATGGCAGAGCCTGGCAAGCTCCCCATGACGTATTCGATATGCCAGACACAGTAACAACAAAGTCTCCAGTGGAGACGTTACTGGGCCCGCTCGAGCAAATCGATGATCAACGGGAGGGCCTTTACCTTTTAATATAAAAGTCAAAGTTAAAAAAAAACAGTTCATGTAATACCTAAGTATCCTCTACTTGAATTTAATAATTCTTAATACTGCTATCACAACTTAATATTTGTGTGTGTATTTTTTACTTTGAATTTTGAAAGTTGCGCATCCTAAAAATTAGCACACTTTAGTATCCATGTCACCATTCATTTCCTAAAACTGAGAGATATCCATATATATCACATTATTGTCACTATGGCATCTAAACAATAATTTAGTTATTATTGAATATAATTGTCACTGTCACTGTCACTGTCCTCCCGTTGCTCATCGATTTGCTCGAGCGGGCCCAGTAACGTCTCCATTGTGAGACTCATTGTTACTGTGTTTGGCATATCGTATACACCACGGGTAGCTTGCCAGGCTCTGCCTTGCGGGCGGGATACTCTCGGTCGCTTGCCAGGCTCTCCTAGAGGATATAATTAAAAATTCAGACTCTTTCAGGATGCCTGAATGACATCAGGAGCAAATACATGACATTATCTCACACAGTTTCTGTGGAGCAAATACACGACATTCATTATCTCAATTTCTGTAGTTCTGAAATTTAGGAATAGCCTCGTGGGGTGGTTCAGTCTCTCTTGAGTGTGCAAAGTCAACAGTCTGGTCACGCTGCAACATTCTGAAGACTTCACTAAGGCTGGAAGAAACAGCTTCCGAAACTGCTCACACACAGGCTGGCATAACGGAAGGCAAACAGATTGTTGGCTGTGGCCCTTGATTTTTCCACACACAGATCTCTCCATGGAGCTGCTCCAGGGCAGTTGGAGTCAACAAGAGTTAGGTACCAAAGAACGAATTAGAGAGAAATAGCAATGTCTTCGATGGTCAGGCCTTGGAAATGTATTGGATCACCTCCTCCATCAGCCTGCAAAGATCACGGCCACCGCCAGCCCCTGAAAAGGACCAACCTGTATGGTGGCACCGGGAGCACGGTATACTAGAGAATCCGGGACAGCGGCGGCTGGGCGGCTCGGGGTGTGGCCCTGGTGGGGCGTGGCCCTGGTGGGGCGTGGCCCTGGTGGGGCGTGGCCCTGGTGGGGCGTGGCCTGGAGGGGCGTGATCATCCCAGGAAGGGGCGGGGCAGCTGCCGTGGCGCCAAAACGTGAACATGGCGACAGACCGGCTGCGGAGCCGGGCCCTCTCCGCCTTCAAGTTGCGCGGCTTTCTGCTCCGGGGGTGAGTCTGTTTGGGCAGCTTGCAGGGCAGGAGGTTTGAGTCAGGACCAGACGGCCGGCCAAGCCGCCGGAAGCGCCGCGAGGGGGTTAGATCTTAGCTCACCGACCTTAAGAAAGTTACCGGAGGCCAAGTCAGTCTGTCTGGGTCTCGAGCCTATGATGCGCTGGGCCGGCGCGTTGCTTCCCACTGGGCAGGACAAGGCGCGCCTGCAGGTGAGAAGTGGACATCCGCGACCGTTCCTGATCTCTGCGACTTGACACTGCCCTGTCCCAGAAGTCTCAGCCTGTGCAAAGTGTGAAACCTAAGAAACCGCGCTACTGGATGCAGTTCCTGAGCGTTCACACCAGGCCGGGTGCTTGTCAGGAGTTGTCAATTGAATACATTGGAGAAATTTTGGACCGCCAGCCTTTGCAATCTTGGGTCACGGAAGAGTTTCTAGGGAGTTAAACAAATGGATAAATTTGAAGCTTGTTCCTAGATCTGCGGCTTTTTCTTCCAGGTTTTAAGATTTTCTTTAGCACTTTTGGCCCATATCCAATTTCCTTGGTTCTACAGTGTGAATATTTCCAAGATTTTTAGCATAAAATCTTTTTTAAAAAAGATGTATGCTTTTGTTTATATATGTATATATATATATATGCGTGTGTGTGTGTGTGTGTGTGTATGTGTGTATACTTGGTTGGAGTGGGTTTGAGCTACACCTGCGGTGCTTAGAGGTGACTCACGGTTCTGGATTCAGAGATCACTCCTGGAGAGCTCGGGGTCCATGTGGGGTGATGGGAATCAATCAACCAGATAGGTAATATGCAAAACAGATACCTCGTGTGCTGTATTATCTCTCCAGCCCCCAAAAGGTAGAGGTTTAACAGCACATTCTTATTATCTCACATTTTCTTTGGGTCAGAATTCCGTTAGACTTAGCTGATTCCTCAGCCACAGTCAAAATGAGGTCATCTCATGTTCACTGGATGGGATTTGCTCTAGAGCCATTGCTAGGTTGGCAGGATTCAGTTGTCTGAAAACTGTTAAATTGAAGGCTTTAATCTTTGCTGGTGATCCTGAGTTTCTTACTCTGTGGGATGAAGCTATCAGGAGTCTAATAGAAGACTTCTAGTAGATGTTTTGCTTGATGCCTTTTTAATTGTTTTGTATTTGGGCCACACCCAGGGTACTGGGGTTGCTCCTGACTCTGAGCTCAAGGATCACTCCTCCTGGTGCTAAGGGGACCATATGCAGTATCAGGGATTGAACTGGAGTCAGCTGCCTGTAGGATAAGCACCTACACCTCTCTGCCCCCAAATTTTATTTTTTTTAAATAATGATAAAGTGGTGCTGGAGGGGTAGTTCAATAGTCTGAGTATACTTTTCATGTGGGAGGCCCCGTTTGGATACCTGAGCACTACTGGGAGTTATGACTGGAAAAACTGAAAAGAAAAAAGACATGATTAAATAAAATGTTTCATCACTCTTGGTAGTTTCTATTGGTAGAAAAAAGTCATATGGTCCAGCCCATACTTCAGGTAGAAGGTGGAAGGAAATGATGATGGACCTAATGAGATTTGCAGAGACTAGATCCTCTATAGCTTCACAGACTTTGGTCTGTCCTAAGTACTGTGCCAAGATCTACCCAAAGAGTGTGCAATGTTAGGGACTCACTTAACATTTGTTTATGGACCATCATCAGTATGCTTAAGATTGTCACAGTTCCAGTTCCCAAGGATCATCATCTACAATAAACTGGAGAGATGTGATACCCATATATGAAATAATAAGCAAATAGTTCACACCATAGAACAGTTAGTATGATGACTATTAACAACCATATTGATATTAAGCATGTTACATGCTCCAAATACAGATTAGCATGTAACTAACTACATAAGCAGATTGTTCATTCTTAGCATTATTAAGTTAATATATATTTGAGTATTTTGATCAGGACATTGAGGCAGACAGAACTCTGTTTCAAATGTCAAGTAATAATATTGGGCATTTTTCATATGTAAGATCAAAGTATATATGTGGGATCTTAGCAATTTCAGAATGGAGTGGTGACTGCATAAGGACTGACTGGTCTTCTGAGAACAAGGATGTGCTTTGAGGCTTTAAGGAGATTTAGGTTAAGACTTCCGTCTCGGCATGGCCCAGGTTCCAACTCGGCAGGCTGAGGAAGGGTCAGGAAGGTTGCAGCTATGGTAGGGGATGCTGCTGGAAGCTCAGGTGCTCAAGTCCCCATCAATTCTGCATCCCTGGCTGCAATCCCTGCTGCAGCGACCGTCAGAGAGGCAAGACCTGCCGGATGGACCAAAGGAAAAAAAAAAAGAATAGAAAAGAAATCTTAAATTGATGACATAAAAGGAGGAAACTGTTTAGTAAGCACAAGAAAGATAAGTACTATTTGTAAGGAAGGAATGACTATCTTAATTTCAAGGCAAGATTGATGAGAGTATTTGATGGTGTTTTGTATAAAACTTATATACTTAATTGCTAATGATATCCTCTTTCTATTCCCTCTCTTGTCAGTGAAGCTACTAAGTACCTTATAGAAGCTCTCCAGTCTATCAGTGAAGTGGAGCTTGAGGATGCACTGGATAAGATCATTGATGCAGTTGAAAAGCAGCCCTGTAAGTAATATGTTTTGATTGCTCTTAAGTTGTTAGAAGTTCTACATCTTCCATTATATGCATGGACTGAAGCAGAAGTTGAGGATTCAGTATCAGAATGTCCCTGTGTTAGGATATATACCTGTGGCAGTACCTTTTCCCAAGGGGTAATCTCCAATTCCCAGAAACTCTTTTATACTTCTCTTTTTTCTTTTTTGCTTTTTGGGTCATACCCGGTGTTGCACAGGGGTTATTCCTGGCTCATTCACTCAGGATTTACTCCTGGCAGTGCTTGGGGGAATCAAACCCGGGTCAGATGCATGCAAGGCAAACACCCTACCGGCTATGCTATTGCTCCAGCCCTTCTTTTATACTTCTCTTGATAAATTCCTCTTATTCCTTTATGATCACTCATTTTTATGCATGCTTGTTACAATGTTTTATTTGAATTAGGGTTCCCAGATGTTTTGGGTAACAAAATAGAACTAAGCTAGGTGACTCTCTCTTTCATTTTTGGTGTGCCGTGCGGTGGGTGGGTGAGTGGGTGGGGGTGGAAAACCATACCCAGTGGTCCTCAGGGCTTACTCCTGGCTCTGCATTCGGAGATCACTCCTAGCAGGGATAAGGGTAACTGATGGGGTGCCAGGGCTTGAGTCTAGTATGCTGCTATGCAAGGCAAGCATCCTACTCCCTATACTGTCTCTTTAGTCCATCCTTTCCTCTTTCAGACTTTGTTCAGGGATATTTTTGTTAAATACTTAATGTCTTATCAATACTTAACCTTTCACCCTCAGCATGACCTACAGTAACACACAGAGTATAGTACACACTTACTAGAAGCATAAGCGGTAGCTATTTTTTATTTCCTTTGTGGATGCCAGGGATGAAATCCAGGTCTCAAGCATGCAAGGCATGAACTTTACATCTGGCCCCAGGGCTAGCTATTATTATTACCGTGCCTACTGAAGCAGCAATTGTGATAAGAAGTTATACTGATGTAGCTCATTAAATCCAGGAGGTCACAGGAGTGTTTGTAAAACAATTTGTGGAAATTGATTTTTATGTATCTTTTAAAAATATGATTTTGAAATTTTCTTTTTAGTGTCATCAAACATGATTGAAAGATCTGTAGTGGAAGCAGCAGTCCAGGAATGCAGCCAGTCTGTAGATGAAACAATGTATGTAGATAAGAGAAGCTCTTCCCTGGTATCCTTTAGCTACTCTTTAGAGGTGCTATTTAATGCTTTTTTTTTTTAATTTATTTTTTATTTTATTTTTTTTATTAAAAAATTTTTAATAGTGAGACATCATGAGGTACAGTTGCAGACTTACACATTTTTGTGCTTGGGTTTCAATTATACAATGATCAAATACCCATCCCTCCACCAGTGCCCATTTCCCACCACCACGGATCCCAGTATCCCTCCCACCCCCCTTACCCCCATCCCACCCTGCCTCTGTGGCAGGGCATTCCCTTTTGTTCTCTCTTATTGGGTGTTGTGGTTTTAATGCTTTATTTTTTAATATTTAATTTTTGTGTATGTGATACTGGGGATGGAAGTCAGGGCCTCACATATGTAAGATATGTATTCTTCTGAGCTACCTTTAAGCTACATCCCTAGTCCTGAGTACTTATTTTATTATAATGTACATATATGTATAATGATTATAACAACACTGTCCTCCCGTTGTTCATCGATTTGCTTGAGTGGGCACCAGTAACATCTCACAGCAAATTGACTTTTACTGTTTTTGGCATATCAAATACGTCACGGGTAGCTTGTCAGGCTTTGCCATGAGGGCGAGATACTCTCGGTAGCTTGTCGGCTCTCCAAGAGGGGCGGAGGAATCGAACTTGGGTCGGCCATGTTGGCTGCGTGCAAGGCAAATGCCCTACCCACTGTGCTATTGCTCCAACCCCATTATAATATATTATTATAATAGGTGCCAGGGATCAAAGGGAAGGTGGTTTATTTACTTTTTAAAGGTTGAAACAGTTATGTAATACTGGTTTAATTTTTAATTTTTATTTTGTTGCTGTGCCAGGGATTTAATTCATGGCCTTACACAACTGTGATGCTGTAAACATTTTAAAAATTCTTTCAAAGGGAGAGATAATATAGCTGCTAAGGCAGCTGCTTTGCAAACAGCCATCCCATGTTTGATCCTCAGTACCACCTACAATTCTCTGAGTCCTGCTAGAATGATCCCAGAGTACAGAGCAGGGGGTAAGCCCTGAGCACTACTAAGTGTTGCCCACAACCAAGAAATAAACCAAAAAAACAATGTTTGAAATGAATCTTATTCTTTAATAATATTGTAACTGATAAAATAAAGGTACATAATATATATTTGTACATATAGAAGAAGAGTTTTTTTAAAACTTGTGTGTGTGCGCGCGCGCGTGTGTGTGTGTGTGTGTGTATGTGTGTGTGTGTAAGGGGGGCACATTTTCAGTGCTCAGGACTTACTCCTGGTCCTGCACTCAGGGATTACTCCTGGTAGGCTCTGAGGATCGTATGGATCATATGGATCAAACCCAGGTTGACTGTATTCAAGGCTAGATCCTATCCACTATATTATTGCTCTGGTCCCTAAGATGTGATGTGTATTTTATACATAAATGTTCTTTTTTAACATGATATTCTTTTTGCTTTGTGGACTATACCTGGAAGTTCTAAGATACTATTCCTGCCTCGATGCTCAGAGATCACTCCTCACAGTGTTCAGGGGACAAGGTGGTGCTGGAAATCCTGGGCTTTCTCCATGCAAAACATGTGCTCTGGCTGTTGAACTGCCTCTCTAGTTCCTAGATGTTAGACAACTTTCTTGTTTTGTTTGATTTTTGGACCATACCTCATGATGCTCACATCTTGCTCTATGCTCAGAGATCACTTCTGCCAGTGCTCAGAGGACCTTAGGCAATGCCAGATATTGAACCCAAGTCTGCCACTTGCAAGGCAAGCACCCAACTTGTCTTTCAACTTGATTTTTTTTTGTTGTTATTGTTGTTTGCTTGAGAGTATTGGTAATGCATTTATCTTTTGAGGAAAGCTAAAATTATTATCCCTATATTTTGGCATTATAAGAGATTTTATATATGATTGGTGAAAAATATATATGTATATATAATAAAACATTATTATATTGCAAATGTCACGTTCACCTGAAATGATGTTTTAGTAAATTGTGTCTGTGTTTTTTGTGGGATGTTTTTCAGAGAACATATTTTCAATATCATAGGAGCATTTGATATTCCACGCTTTGTGTACAATTCAGAAAGAAAAAAATTTCTTCCGTAAGTGTACAATTATTGATTTTAAGCTAATTTTAAATAATTTTAAACATGAATGTCATTTTTAGAGGGTATATCATCTCATGTTTCATTTTTGGTCTATCTTGTTGATTATGATAGTCATAAATGAATGTTTCTTTTTTTCTAGTCTATTACTGACCAACCAACCTCCACCAAGTTTATTTGGAACAGCAAGAGATAAAGCAGAGCTGTTTCGTGAACGTTATACCATTTTACACCAGGTAATTGGGGAAGGGCATGGTCTTAGCTTTAGATAAGACTTAAGGATAATTAAAGGTTGAAATTTTGTAGTTCAAAGTTTGTCATTTGTTAGACTATTACTGATCTCAGCTTGAAACCATGTAAGGAGATACAGAAATAAAAAAAGAAACATATCCGTTTACAATAATGATAATAATAAAAATAGTAGTTAACGTTTGTCATCTACTTTTGATAAGCCAGGGATTGTGCTTAATTGGTGTTTTCTTTTTTAAAAAATTAATTATTATTTTTAGGGCTGCATGTGACAAGAGCATTAACCTCTTTATTATCTCCAACCCTTGTATTATCTACTAACTGTAAGGGATTTAAACATTTTTTTAGTTAGCATTTTAGTAGACATTGTTCACCTCAGTTTTGTAACATTACTTTAAAGACAGCCCTTGATCACGGTACTGCTTAATTGTTGGGTTTTCTTGTTTTGTTTTTGTTTGGTATGCTTAGTTTTAAATGTGCATTAATATTTCATGTGAATATTAATTTCTTTATAGAGGACACACAGACATGAATTATTTACTCCTCCAGTGATCGGGTCTCATCCTGATGAAAGTGGAAGCAAATTCCAGGTTAGAGCATTACCCTAATTATTTATAGGGTGGAGGTTTAATATTTATTGCTTAAATCTAATTTATTGAACTTTAACTGAAATTGAATCACTGATTTCTAACTAAGTAACTGAGCTGTATATTCCCATACGTGATAGGCATATAATATACATCACGACCATACCATGTGTCTTGGGTCCCACAAATTTGAAAACAAATGTACTTATCATGATTCAGAATGTGATACGAAACTTCAGTCATTGGCAAAGGCCAGAGTTGATGTGGTGTTTCTTTAGGGTATAATTCTTCCAAGCCATCATACAGCTTTTTGTACAATAAGAATATAATTCTGAGGGGGCTGGAGCAATAGCACAGCAGGTAGGGCGTTTGCCTTGCACGCGGCCAACCCGGGTTCAATTCCCAGCATCCCATATGGTCCCCTGAGCACTGCCAGGGGTAATTCCTGAGCACAGAGCCAGGAGTAATCCCTGTGCATTGCCGGGTGTGACCCAAAAAGCAAAAAAAAAAAAAAAATATATATATATATATATAATTCTGAATTTTATTTGATTTTCTACTCTATGTGCAAATGCAACATTTACTTATTAGTTTCTTAAAAGAAAATTTCCTATCTCTAATAGTTTATTTTGCTTTATTTTAGCTTAAAACAATAGAAACTTTATTGGGCAGTACAACCAAAATTGGAGATGTGATAGTTCTTGGAATGATAACTCAGTTGAGGGAGGTAAGTAAAATATAATACCATTAAGGTTGGGGAGGTAGCACAGAGGTTAAAGGGCTTGCCTTGCATGTAGTTGACTCTTGTTCAATCCCTGGTGCTATGTATGGCCAGGAGTAAGCCTGTGCACTGCGAGGTGTGACACCCCAAGCCAAAAATAAATAAATAATAAACTTGATAGTATCAAACTTTTATTTTCAGTCTTCGGAATGCTAAAGTATTGATTACTTATAACACTTGTAGAGAGTACAGAATATATTCTTCACTTCATGTATTGTTGACTCATTCATTCATTCATTCATTCATCATCCTGTTATTCGTCGATTGCCTCGAGCAGGCCCTAGTAATGTCTCTTTCATCCTAGCCCAGAGATTATATTCAAGGCTCTTTAGGAGAATGAGACCCATCAATGTTACTGTTATTTGGCATATTTGGTATGCCACGGGGAGTTTGCCAGACTCTGCCCTGTGGGCAGGCTACATTCGATAGCCTGCAAGTTTGTCCAAAGTAGGAATGAGATAATAAGATGTCATAAAAAGATGTCCTGATAAGATGTCGCGCGGCCGCAAATGCGGCTGCGTGGTTCCGGGAGCTAAATTTTATAGTCTCTGAGTCTTGGCCGTTGATGGGATTACACGGTGCCAGGGGGCCAGGTGGTGGGTGTGACCCCCGCCTACTGGAATTTGGAGGATCTGGGTGGAGGATGCTCAACTCCAATCTGAGTAGGCTTGGAGATCTCGGCCCTGGAACCCGCGTGGCTTTGTCCCTCTGCCAGTACCTTCATGTGTGCGGAGAGTGGTCTCAGCATGGTGGTGGCTGGTCCTGGAGGTCTTCGGCTGCCGGAGCCCTGGTCGGGGTGGGGAGGAAAGCTCAACCCGCTCCCCTGGAAGGGACCCCGGGGAGGAACAGCCAGGCACAGGGGCAGGAGACTGCACTGGTCTCGTCCGGGAGCTGGATTTTATAGTCTCTGAGTCTTGGCCGTTGATGGGATTACACGGCGCCAGGGGGCCAGGTGGTGGGTGTGACCCCCGCCTACTGGAATTTGGAGGATCTGGGTGGAGGATGCTCGACTCCAATCCGAGTAGGCTTGGAGATCTTGGCCCCAGAACCCGCGTGGCTTTGTCCCTCTGCCAGTACCTTCATGTGTGCGGAGAGTGGTCTCAGCATGATGGTGGCTGGTCCTGGAGGTCTTCGGCTGCCGGAGCCCTGGTCAGGGCGGGGAGGAAAGCTCAACCCGCTTCCCTCCAAGGGACCCCGGGGAGGAACAGCCAGGCGCAGGGGCAGGAGACTGCACTGGTCTCGTCCGGGAGCTGGATTTTATAGTCTGGAGCGATAGCACAGCGGGTAGGGCGTTCGCCTTACAAGCGGCCAACATGGCCGACCCGAGTTCGATTCCTCCGCCCCTCTCGGAGAGCCCGGCAAGCTACCGAGAGTATTCGATATGCCAGACACAGTAACAACAAAGTCTCCAATGGAGACGTTACTGGGCCCGCTCGAGCAAATCGACGATCAACGGGAGGGCCTTTACCAGAGACTATTGTTGACTATTCTTTGAATATATTCATTGAGTACCTTAGGCACAAGTTACTTTTTCATCTGTTTTTGGTTTCTTGGGATATCAAGAAGGTGTATGTAGGACTAGTTTATATAATATAAAATTAGGTTGTGGTTTCTGGTTGAATTGACAGTATTGGGTTTCTGAACAAGCATAGCAGCAGACCATGCCCTTGTTCTTTTGAGGTGCTGTTGACTCTTTGGTGAAGCTACGTGGAGAGGTGCTCCTTTGGAAGCCAGCAAGTATTTGCATTACTTGATCTTTAATGGTCATTCCCAAACACTGACAGAGAGTCTGAATCTCAATTAAGTGATTGATTGGAGTTCACCAAACTAGTAAAGGGAAAGTTGGCCTAGAAACTACATATATTTTTTTAAATTCACTGAAGTCTGTACTATATTCTGTTGCCAAAATGTTCAATGTTTAATTTTGTTGTAGTAGTACATGGATTGATATGGACATATATATTTTTTTCAGGGCAAATATTTTCTAGAAGATCCAACAGGAACAGTGCAAGTAGATCTCAGTAAAGCTATATCCTTTGCTTTCTTTCCTTCTTTTTTTTTTTGATCTATGTTACATAAACTGGGGTAACTGAATACAGATCATTCTCAAGTCTGCTTATTGTTTTTTCCAGTATAACTTCTATATTTGTGGTGGTAGTGTTGAATTTAGAGACATGATGTAAAAGCCACAAGGCCAGAGAGATGGGACTGAGCGCATGCTTTGCTTGCAGTAGACCCTGGTTTTATCCATGGTACCACTTGGTGGTCTGAGCACATTGGGAGTGATTCCTGAGCCATTGCCAGGTGGGCTGAAAAACAAACAAAAAAAAAAATAAAAGAAACATTTTTCATTTCCCTTTAGTTGGGAGAATCCATTTAGATCCCTGAGGAAATTTATTCTATTTTGATAATGATCTGTTTTGACAGTATTAGCAGGCTTTTAGAATCAGACCTGGAGACATTTTGAACTTAAAACTTTTATTACAAAAGTCACGGCCCATGCAGTTTCACATGTGAAGTTTCTGAATATATTGTTTAACAGTCCTGTTGGCCTCAAAATGTATGTTGACTTCATCACTACCTCAATTATTGAAATAGATTTTTTTTGACTGTTGTGTACCAGTTTCATAGTGGTTTATACACAGAGTCCTGTTTTGTCTTAGCAGAAGGTAAGTCTTTCATTTTTTTCTTGTCTAAGTCATTCTACACCAAAATCATTTTTAAATTTTAAGAATAGTATCGTAATGTAATTTGGGAGAACACTGATTATGCATAGTTTTCATAATAAAATAACTGAAGGAAGAGATTGCTCAAAAGACTGACACACAACACAGCCTTTGCATATGGGAGTTCCAGGTTCCATCCCTGACCTGGCAGGGCCCCCTGGAGCACTGTGGGGAATGACCCTCAAGAACCAAACTGAATTGAGTCTGGAATAGGTCCACGCACTACCAAGTGTGACCTGAAAACCCAAAACAAAAAAAAAAAAACCTGATTGCTCATTGGCCTGGGTTTTCTTTAGGAGCCTAACGAAATATTATGGATCACTGATCACTGCCAGGAGTAATTCCTGAGTGTGCAGAGCCAGGAGTAACCCCTGAGCATTGCCAGTTATGATCCAAAAGCCAAGGAAAAAAAAGTTTCATTTCTGGATCTATTTTTATTTAGTGAAAACTTCTTAAGTAGAACTGAGACATCTCTAAATCTGAAGTTACATTGTAGCTCAGTCAGACTGGTTCCCTCTGTAGTTAGTGGACCAGGATGAGATGATAGCCTGTCATAACAGGTTTGTGTTTCATTGTTTTATCTTTTCAGAAGAGTAAGATAAATAAAAGTGATTTGTTCCTTTTTTGTTTCAGGTTGGTTTGAAGATCAAGTGTTTCATGTTAATGCATTTGGATTTCCACCCACTGAACCCTCTAATACTACTAGGTATAAACATGTTTAAATTGAACTCTAGGAACTTTGTAATATAGGTAATCATACTTGTGAAATATTATCAGGCTTTGTGTCAGAATGGAAAGAGAAGCGAAAAATGAGATCTAGAAATTTAGGCTTTATATGCATGCGAAAGCTGGCAGATTGACTCCAGCTTCACTGGCCTTTACTCTGTTTTGATGTTGTGAGGGGTGGGGGGTGGGGGGGGCAGTGACGCCATGCCCAGCCATGTTCAGGGCATTCGCCTGGCTCTGCACTCAGGAATCACTGCTGGTGGTGCTCACTGGAACAATATGTGATTTCAAGGATTTGAACCAAGGTTGGCCGCATACTAGGCAAATGCCCTAACCCCTCTATCATTTCTTTGGCCCAACTCTCGGAGTTTTGAACAGGGTTTGAATTCCAACTCTTACTCATGTTAATGGGGCAGACAAAGGTAATACACTAAACACTTCTGATTATGAACCTCATTTTCTCTCTCTCTCTCTTTTTTTTTTTTTTGTAAAAAAACCCCAGCGATGCACAAGGGTTACTCCTGGCTCTGCACTGAGGAATTACTCCTGATGGTGCTCAGGGGACCATATGGGATGCTGGGAATTGAACCTGGGTTGGCCGCGTGCAAGGCAAACGCCCTACCCACTGTGCTATTGCTCCAGCCCCCTCATTTTCTCTTTTATAAAATAAAATAAACTCTTGGAATTTTTTTTAAAGGATTTAAGATCATGTCTTTCTGATGCTTGCATATATGTATTATATATATATATATTTTTTTTATTTAGGATAAAAGGTTCAGTATTCCTAATGCAGTATTTGCAGTAACAGAACTACAGTGAATAACAAGAATAAACTTTAGGGGCCTGAGCAATTTTACAGTAGTGATGGCGTTTGCCTTGCATGCGGCTAACCTGGATTCAATCCTTGGCATTCCATATGGTCCCCCAAACACTGCCAAGAGTAATTCCTGAGTGCAAAGCCATGAGTATCTACTGAGCATTACCAGGTGTGTGTGACCAAAAAAAAAAAATAATAAAAAAAGAATTAACTCCAACTCATAATTACCTTGATTTTTACCTTGATTTCTTCTCTCTTGAGAAACTTTAAGTTTCTCCACTTTTCCATTCTGGGATATAGGTTAGTTTTCACAGACATTATTAATTCCTTAAAAAATGATTTCTTAAAAATTCGGTATGTGTGTGTATATTTATAAAATGACTTGAACTTGTGACTCCTACACAAAGCATGTTCTTCAGTCTTGGAGTTATCTTCCCAAACCTAGAATAGATTTTTAGTTGTGGAATTGCTTAGTCAGGCCATTGACTATTTTGGAGTCTTTTACTAGGTGTTGTTGAATTGCATACCTATTTTTCCTAATTTCAGTTACATAGGACCTTTTTGTATGTTTCACTCAGTTTTTAAAGACACAGATATAACCTACCATTTAAATATTTTCTGCTTTTGTTTTGCTTCCTTTCTTATTTTAGAACATTTAACTTTTTCCCCCAGTGCTAGAAATCAAGCCCAGGCTTTATGCTTAGTGGCACAGTGGATTTCTAGTCCCAAATGTGTTTACTTTGTAGGCATTACAAAGACTATACTTTTGTGGTATTATTTACATGAGAAAATGGTATTATTATAAATTATCTAGATTTGTAAAATTATTTTTAAAATTATCTCCAATCTTGAAGACAACATAGAAGATAATAATGTATAATACTTAATTACCTAGGGCATACTATGGAAATATTAATTTTTTTGGAGGGCCTTCTAATACATCTGTGAAAAGTTCTACAAAACTCAAACAATTAGAAGATGAGAATAAAGATGCCATGTTTGTTTTTGTATCTGATGTTTGGTTGGACCAAGTAGAAGTATTGGAAAAACTTAACACCATGTTTGCTGGTAAGTATCATTGTTTATTTTCTTTTAAAACTCGTATATGGGATCATGTCTTACAACAGTTATTTTGGGGCTGGAGGAATAGTACACACACACACACACACACAATCATTTTATGTGTTTTAAGTTGATCTAGGGACCTGGGATGTGATTCAGTGGTATAGCACATGCTTCCCAGGTTGTGAGAACTGGAATCCATACCTGGTAATGATATTACTATGACTCAGAAGTAAGGTAGCTTGTAAGTTCATCTTAAAAGACTTAATTTTCACATTTGAAAAATAACTGTGTATATATGTTTATAATGAATAGTAATTAGTCTTAAGTACATTAAGAGAGAATAAGAGATTAAGAGCTTGGAGTCTGGGGCTGTATAGCAATAGTACATCGAATAGGACATAGGACATTTGTGTTGCTCAAAGCCAACCAGGTTCGATTCCTCAATCCCACCAGGAGTGATTCCTGAGTTTAGAGACAAGAGTAAGCCATGAGCACTGCAAGGTTTGACCCCAAAACAGAAAACAAACCCCCCCTCCAAAAAAGAAAAAAGGAAGAGCTTCAAGTCTGAGAGAACTGCGTTTTAACAGCCAATAACCCTGGGCAGGGTATATTCAGCATATAGGCATTTTGTGAGGATTAATTCACTGTAGGACATAAGCACTTTGTAAGTACTCAATAGTGAGAACTATGATTACTATTATTTGACGAGCAAGGTTTTTTTTTTTTTTTTTTTGCTTTTTGGGTCACACCTGGCGATGCACAGGGATTACTCCTGGCGGTGCTCAGGGGACTATATGGGATGTTGGGAATTGAACCTGGGTCTGCCATGTGCAAGGCAAATATCCTACCTGCTGTGCTATCGCTCCAGCCCCTGAGCAAGTTATTTAAATATTTTTATTAGGGCCAGAGAGATAGTATAGTGGGTAAAGGCATTTGTCTTGCATGCAGCTGACTCAAGTTTGATTCCTTGCCCTACATATGGTTGTCCAGGCACCTCCAGAGTAATCCCTGAGCCTTCAGTACTACCTGGTGTGTAGTACTGAAAATAAATGAATGTTATTATAATGGCAGAAAGGCAAGTTTATGTTGTTTTAAACCTGGTCTCTATACTAGAGAATTTATATTTATTCTTTCATGTTTTAGGTTATTCACCAGCACCTCCAACCTGTTTTATACTATGTGGTAATTTTTCATCTGCTCCATATGGGAAAAACCAAGTTCAAGCTTTGAAAGGTATTAAGGGACTGTTTAACAAGTGTTCTATATTTACTGAAAGTAAAATGTTAAAAAAAATTGCCTGTAATTTTTTTCTTTTGGTGGGGGGGAGGCTGGAGCAATAGCACTGTGGGTAGGGGGTTTGGCTTGCACGCGGCCAACCTGCCGGACCCAGTTCGATTCCTCCCCCCTCCCAGAGAGCCTGGCAAGCTATCGAGAGTATCTCGTCCATATGGCAAAGCCTGGCAAGCTACCTATGAGATATTCGATATGCGAAACACAGTAACAAGTCTCACAGTGGACATGTTACTGGACCCGCTCGAACAACGGGAGGACAGTGCTTTAATGCTAAATATTTTTTTTGTCAAAGTAGGGTTAGAGCTAATCAAATGTAATACAATTTTATGTGCAGTATATACAAATTAAATATTTGTTTAAAATTTTAGATTCCCTAAAAGCTTTGGCAGATATAATATGTGAACATCCAAATATTCATCAAAGGTAATGATTTTTACTTCTCTGTTTTTTATTTAAACGGGCTTATTTTTTTAAAAACAACTAAAAAGTGAATCCTTTGTCAGTAATTATTAAATTTAAAGGTTGAGGAAACTAATATACCCAGGAGATAGAATTAGCTTGACCTTCTGCTGGTGTTCATTACACTGTACTAAAGTCATAACAAACTGTAAAAGGAGTGGCCCGAGTGATAAGCGGTAGGGGTGTTTGCCTTGCATGTGAGTTATCCAGGTTTGATCCCTAAAACACATATGGTTCCCCAAGCCTGCCAGGGATGACCCCTGAGTGCAAAAGACAGGAGGAAGCCCGGAGCACTGCCAGGTGTGGCTCAAACCACCCCATTTCTCTCTATTCCCACTCCCCTTGCCCCCCATAAAGGAAAAGTAATAATGTCAATCACATATATGTATATACTTTGGGTGAAGATCTTTTGGCATGGCACCTAGCAGTGTTCAGGGTCTGTATCAGCGCAGGGGGAGCTCCTGGTTGTATTCAGAGACCAAGTGGTGCCAAACACAGGCCTTCACTTGCAAAGCATACACTCGGACTGTTTTTTAATTTCTTACTGACATTTTTCAGAGGGTCTAAAGCTTCACTTAATGATAGTCTCTGGCCACATATGTCCTTTTACACTTAAATATATAAATTTAAATAATGTTTAAGATATAGTACATCACTTATGCTAGCTACAGTTCAAATATAATTAGTGCAGAGAGAAAATATTTCCATTATCACAAACAGATCTCTTGAACAGTGTGTGGAGAATGGGAGTAGTTCATCTAATGAAATATAATGAGAAAAAAATTTTAAATTGCATGTTTTAATTTAAAGCAATTGATTTTTTTTATACTACTAGGAATGTTGTTAATTTTTTTTAATGAATTATGTTGAATTTTGCTACAGTAGTCGTTTCGTGTTTGTTCCTGGCCCAGAGGATCCTGGATTTGGTTCTATACTACCAAGGCAAGTTTTTCTTTTATTTATTTATTTATTTCAATTTTTATTAGTGAAACACCATGAGGTACAGTTGTAGACTTACAAACTTTTTTGCTTGGGTTTCAATTATACAATGATCAAATACCCATCCCTCCACCAGTGCCCATTTTCCACCACCACGGGTCCCAGTATCCCTCCCACCCATCCCCCCATCCCACCCTGCCTCTGTGGCAGGGCATTCCCTTTTGTTCTCTTTCTCCTTTCGGGTGTTGTGTTTTGCAAAAGAGGCATTGAGTGGCAATCATGTTCAGTCTATAGTCTACTTTCAGCATGCTTCTCCTATCCTGGGAGGATCCTCTCAACACCCTTTGTTTGGTGCTCCCTTCTCTATCTGAGCTCCCTTTTCCCCTACTATGTATGGCTGGCCTCCAAGCCGTGGAGCAAACCTCCTGGTACTAATCTCTGCCACTTTTGGGTGTTAATCTCCTATTTTGTTACTTTATGTTCCCCAGATGAATGCAATCTTTTTATGTCTATCCCTCTCTTTTTGAGTCATTTCGCTTTATATGATACTTTCCATGTAGTACCACTTGTATGTAAATTTCATGACTTCATCTTTTCTAACAGCTACATAGTACTCCATTGTGTAGATGTACCAAAGTTTCTTTAACCAGTCATCTGTTCTCGGGCTCTCATGTTTTTTCCAGATTCTGGCTACTGTAAACCGTGCTGCAATGAACAAACAAGTGCAGATGTCACTTTGACTATACTTTTTTTGCCTCTCTGGGATATATTCCCAGGAGTGGTATAGCTGGGTCAAATGGGAGCTATACTACTCAATTTCTAATTTTTTAAGAATCGACCATACTTCCAAAAGGGCTGAACCAGTCGGCATTCCCACCAGCAGTGAAGGAGGGTCCCTTTCTCACCACATCCACGCCAGCACCAGTTGCTTTTGTTCTTTTGGATGTGGGCCAGTCTCTGTGGTGTGAAATGATATCTCGTTGTTGTTTTGATCTGCATTTCCCTGATGATTAATGACGTAGATGTGCCTTTTAGCCATTCGGATTTCTTCTTTACGAAAGTCTCTGTTCATTTTGTCGCCCCATTTCTTGATGGGGTTGGATGTTTTCTTCATGTGGAGTTCAAACAGTACTTTGTATATCCTTTTATCAACCCCTTGTCAGATGTGTATTCAGCCAATATCCTTTCCCATTCTGTAGACTGTCTTTGTATTTTGGTCACTGTTTCTTTGGAGGTGCAGAAGCTTCTTAGTTTAAGATAGTCCCGTTTGTCTATCTCTTTTTTTACTTGCTTGGTCAGTGGTGTGACATCTTTGAAGATACCATTAGCTTCAATGTCATGGAGGGTTTTGCCAACTTTGTTTTCAATGTACCTTATGGATTCCGGTCTGATGTTGAGGTCTTTAATCCATTTTGATCTTACTTTTGTACATGGTGTTAGGCAGAGATCTGAGCCTACTTTTTTGCATGTAGCCATCCAGTTTTGCCAACACAATTTGTTAAAGAGACTTTCCTTGCTCCACTTCACTTTTCTTGCCCCCTTATCAAAGATTAGATGATCATAAAGGCAAGTTTTTCAAATATTTGCAATACTATACAAAATTTGGGGGTTGTTTTGGTTTTGAGACCCTATTTGGTGTGTGGTCAGGATTTACCTCTGACTGTATGCTTGGGGCACCATGTAGTTTTGGGGATTAAACCTATGTCTCTTCAGGTAATACATATTTCAGCCCGTTCAATGATCTCCCTGAAACAGTAAACAAAATTTTGTGCAATTTAAAGTATACACTGTATTACATAATTTGTTTTATAGGCCTCCACTTGCTGAAAGCATCACTAATGAGTTCAGACAACGAGTACCATTTTCAGTTTTTACTACTAATCCCTGCAGGTAAATATTAGTATTTCATTTTATTATTTGTCCCTCTTAATTTGATTCTGAAAAATGATCTCTAAATTTTTTTTTAACAGAGCAGGGGGCACCACACCCAGCGGAGCTCAGGTGTTACTCCTGGATACGCATTTGGGAATGCTTTTGGTGGTGCTGGGGACCATCTGGGATGCCAGGGTTCCAACCTGGGTCAGTTGCTTGCAAGCAAGCACCCTAACTATTGTACTATACTCCAGCCCAGATCTCTCAAGTTTGATTGACAATAAAAGTAAAAATTTCTTTTAGTTTCTTAAAACTTAAAATATTGGGGCTGGAGCAATAGTACAATGGGTAGGGCATTTGCCTTGCATGTGGCTGCTGGGTACGATCCCAGTATCCCATTTGGGCCCCTGAGCACTGCCAGGAGTAATTCCTGAGTGCAGAGCCAGGAATAATCGCTGAGCATTACTGGGTGTGATCCCACCCACAAAAAAAATCTTTTAAAATATTTTAATTATTTAAATAGTTTCTTAATAATACATTTAGAAGCTTGAATAATCAATTTAAAAATAGTTATTCTTGGGGCCGGAGTGATAGTACATCAGGTAGGGTATTTACCTTGCATACGACTGACCCGGGTTCAATCCCTGGCATCCCATATGGTCTGCCAAGCACCGTCAGGAGTAATTCCTGAGTGCAGAGCCAGGAGTAACCCCTGAGCATCGCTGGGTGTGACCCAAAAAGAAAAAAAAAAGTCATTCTCATACATCCTGTAAGAAGAAGTTCCAAGGGGACAATGAAGATTATACACATAAATACTTTCTGTGCCTCCTACTGGAGTCAGTCTCTTACTGAAAAAATACCCTTGGTCCTCTGTTTTTCTGTGTTTTCTGCCTGTACTTACTTCTTTGGTGACCTTATCCAGGCCCCTGGTTTTAAATACTATCTTTGTATTGATAAGTCTCATATTTATATCTTTAACTCGGACCTTTCTTGCAAATTACAGATTCATGTATTCATTTACCCACTCATAAATTTCCCAATTTATGTAGTTTGGTTTTGGTGCCCCACCCTGTAGTGCTCAGGGCTTTCTTCTAATTCTGAACTCAGGGTGGTGCTTAAGGGACCATATGGGGTTCCAGGGATAAAACCTGTATTTGCTGGGTGCAAGACAAGTGCCTTACCCATTATACTCTCTCTCTCTCTCTCTCTCTCTCTCTCTCTCTTTCTCTACTATCTCTTTGGTCTCTACTTAAAAATTTAAAGGAAGGCTTCAGGTTATATTCGTAATATGGTCACCAATCTATACTTCCTTCTCTATAATCCTCTGCAACTTTCTCTAGCCCTAATTACTAGCTTTCTTCTTTCTCTTTTTTTTTGGTTTGTGGGAAGGCACACCCAGCTGTGCTCAGGGCTTAACTCCTGGCTTTGTACTCCAGAATCACTCCTGTGGAGACAATAGAAAGCAGGAATATTTTGTTTTGTAAAGAATTTTTAAAATTTATTTATTTATTTATTTTTGCTTTTTGGGTCATACCCAACGATGCTCAGAAGTTACTCCTGGCTCTGCACTCCTGGGGGTGCTTGGGGAACCATACGGGGTGCCGGGGATCGAACCAGGGTCAGCCTCGTGCAAGGCAAATGCCCTACCTGCTGTGCTATCGCTCCAGCCCACGTAAAGCATTTTAGCCTTTAAAATTCATTCATTCATCATTCATCATCCTGTTATTCGTCGATTGCCTGGAGCAGGCCCCAGTAACGTCTCTTTCATCCTAGCCCTGAGATTATATTCAAGGCTCTTTAGGAGAATGAGACCCATCATTGTTACTGGTATTTGGTATATTTGGTACGCCACAGGGAGTTTGCCAGACTCTGCCCTGTGGGCAGGCTACATTCGATAGCCTGCAAGTTTGTCCAAAGTAGGAATGAGATAATAAGATGTCATAAAAAGATGTCCTGATTATTTCAGTTTTTTCTAATTCAGCTGTTTCCATTTCAGAATTCAATATTGTACACAAGAAATTATTGTCTTTCGTGAAGACTTAGTAAATAAAATGTGTAGAAACTGTGTTCGTTTTCCTAGCAGCAATTTGGATATTCCTAATCATGTAAGTTATCATTCTTCATTAAAGTGCCTTACATATTGCATTGCATTAAATTTTTTGTTTGTTTTTGGTTTTTGGACCATACCCAGCAGCGCTCAGGGTCTACTTCTGGCTCTGTGCTCAAGAATCACTATTGCTCCAGCCTCTATTGAATTTCTTAAGCTGATTAATGCTTTTTTGCATTTTTATGTTTATAGTTCAAAATAGTTTGGGGGAAAAAAATTAAAAATGTTGTCAGTAAGTTTTGTTACTAAAGTTTAACTTCTCTCTAAAATATCTCTTAATGACCAGAGGATAGCCCAGGATCATTAAATTTTCTTGTTTTGCCTTTAAAATTTATGTTTTGGGGGCTGGAGCAATAGTGCAGCAGGTAGGGCATTTGCCTTGCATGCAGCTGACCCAGGTTCAATCCCAGGCATCCCGTATGGTCTCCTGAGCCTGCCAGGAGTAATTCTTGAGCACAGAGCCAGGAATAACCCCTAAGCATTGCTGGGTGCGATGGAAAAACCTAAAAAATAAATAAGTACAATTTATGTCTTATACTTTAAAATATATGTAGAGGAGCTTGAGAGCTAGTAGAGCAGGTAGGAGTCTTTTGCATGCATCTGTCCCTACTTCATCCCCAGTACAACATATGGTCCCCTGTGCCGGCCAGGAGTGATCCCTGAACAGAGAACCAGGAGTAAGCCCTGAGTGCTGGGTGTGACCCACAAACAAAAGAAAGTATGATTGTTTTCCTTAACTGTTTATATGTATATTATATATTTCAGAATGACTAAGTTTGCATCAGGAGTATGTATATTGGCTGTTCCTTAGTTTAAAGGTTCTCTAAGATAGTTGTCAATCCTTGATTACATGTATTCCCATTTGAGAAGTTTAGAGTTAGATTGTACACATTATTGTATTATTTTATAATATTTAAAGTTTATATCGCTAATTGTCTTTTCTTGGTATTATTTAAAGGATGACATTATCTGGATTAATAGAATTTGCAATGAATTCATCATATGGCTAGAAGTATAACTGTTCCAACATGACAATATGGGGGAGTAGCTTTATCGTATCTAGTGTTAACTGAGCAGTCTTAGGTTTTTTCTAGAACGCTGGAGAGAGTTCAATTCATTTTTGGGGGGTTTATGTGTGTGTATGTGTGTAAAGCTAGTTTTTTATTGAAACTCATTTAGAAAGATAAAAGGGGTGAGAGAGAGGGAGAAGTATATGTTCAAGAGAGAACACAGGCTTCTTCTCTAGAGTGGAAAGAAAGCAAAGAAACTGAGATGAGCAAGTTTCATGTTCAAGAGAGAACACGGGGCTGAAGAGCAAACTTTCTCATTTTCTATCAGTGTTTCCCAGATTCTATAATTTGACATCTTCCTAATTGTTTCTCAAATTTTCTTGGTCTTTTTGGGAAGTAGTATTTAATTATTTACTAGCTATTGTAACTTTTCAGATGACTGAAGTTTCTTTTGTATCATTCTTTTGTAGTTTGTAAAGACCATCTTATCCCAAGGACACCTCACTCCTCTACCTCTTTATGTATGCCCGGTGTATTGGGCATATGACTTCGCTTTGCGAGTGTATCCTGTGCCTGATCTACTTGTCATTGCAGACAAATACGATCCTTTCACTTTGACCAATACTGAATGCCTCTGCATAAACCCTGTAAGAATGCCAATAATGTGATATAGTCATAATTTGTCTTCGAATATTGTCTTTAAAATAATTAAATTATTATTTAAGTAGAATAGACTATTAATGAAACTGAATTAAGTTGCATACGGAAGTTTCTTAAATCTAGAATATGATTATAAAGTAATATGATGTCTTCTGTAAAAAACAAAAAACACGAACATTTACAAATCCAAGCAGGTACTTTTCTCTTCAAGAATCTTGGATATTTTTGGAATTACTTTCAGATAAAATTGCTAGACATGGGGCTGGAGCAATAGCACAGTGGGTAGAGTGATTTGCCTTGCATGCAGCCAACCCAGGTTCGATTCCCAGCATCCCATATGGTCCCCTGAGCACCGCCAGGAGTGATTCCTGAGTGCAGAGCCAGGAGTAACCCCTGTGCATTGCTGGGTGTGACCCAAAAAACAAAAAATAAAATAAAATAAAATTGCTAGACATGAACACTCTATACTTATTTCCATACGTGTTCCAACACCTATCCTCTTAATTTGTTTTGGACACTGCTTTATCCCTTCTTGATACTTAGTCACATTGTTGAGATGGATCTGGCATTGAGTTAGTGCCAGTGACACCAGGACTGATAGACAACTAGTCCAGTCAAGACTTGAGACTTATGTATGTTAATTGCTCTCATTTACTTTGAGGGCACAATGGAAGGACAGCAAATCCAAAATTTCACTGGAGAGGGACAGGGAGATTTTTTACACATGAAGTTTGAATGTATTTATGTATACTTAGCACCACACAATAAAGTTTATTTCTTAATTCTGATAGAGGCATTCCTAAGCATTACACTGTCCTATCTCTGACTTGAAAGAATTTTGCTTCAAGTGGAAATACTTATAGTGATACCTTCTCTACAATGATCACATAGATTTTTTTCTCATTGTTTTATAGTCACATTTTACAAATATTTAAGTCCTGGGCAAGAAATATTACAGAAAAAATAGCAGTTATTTTTTAAAAAGCCTTCACTTACATTCATTTTTTTTTTCTCTTCAAAGGGCTCATTTCCAAGAAGTGGATTTTCATTCAAGGTTTATTATCCTTCCAGTAAGACTGTAGAAGACAGGTAAGTGTGCCACAAAAATAGGAGAAATAGCTTTCCCTTAGAATTATTCGCTTACAAATAAGATGGCCTGTGGGTGTGCTGATATTTTGTGACCCACTGGGAATTTTCTAGATAAGACGCTGTTGTGGTTATTTTGTGTGTACTAGGTTATTCAGGAAAACTTTCTGAGTGGGTCTTACCCACTATACTGTCTCTTTGATTCCACCAATAATGTGTTTTTTTGTTTGTTTGTTTGATTGGGGGCTCTATCTGATGGTGCTCAGGGTTCACTCAGGGGCCATGCTGCTTCAGAGGCATTCAGTATTGGTCAGAGTGAAGCAGGGCCTCCTATTTTTGCTGCCCACCTAGTTCAATCCTGGCACCAGGTGATCCATTGAGCACCACCAGGATCAATCCCCAGGCACAGAGCCAGGAGTATCCCCCAAACTATACTGTATATGGCCCCAAATTCTCTCAAAATAAAACAGCCAGGATTACATCATCTTTATTGTTACTACAGTTGTTTTTGGAGAACAGAATTGGAATGTGAAACTGACTTATTTATTATTGTGTCCCCATTCAAATTTGGAACAATGTACTGACCTATTTTTAAAATTAATTATAATTAAATATTTAGAAATGTACAATAACAGAGCAATAGTATAGTGGGTAGGCTATTTGTTTTGCATGCAACCAAACTGAGTACAATCCCCAGCATCCCATATGGTCCCCCAAGCATAACCAGGAGTAATTCCTGAGTGCAGAACCAGGAGTAGCCCCTGAGTATCACCCAATTCTGCCAACCCCCCAACAAAGAAATGTACAATAACAAATTTCTAAAATGTTTATTTTTATAAATATTTTGTTTACAGCAAACTTCAAGGTTTTTGAGTTCTTAAAGACCATCTGAAGAAATAAATTCATCGATTTTCTGCTCTTTTTTGTATATTATGTAATTTTGATAAATAAATTCATCAACTTTCTTAGTTTTGTATTTTATGTAATTTAGATATTAAGTTACCATAAAATTACAATAAACTTTATAATGTTTATATTTTATAAAGTTTGATATAATTATTATTGATAGTGTACTTTATAAAGTTTCATGGAAAAAACATTTCAGCATATTTTCATCTCTAACTTTGAAAAGCAGCAAGTTCTGCTGTTGAGTGTGTAATCACTAACAACCCATACTTAGCATTTGTGTCACTGAAATGACAGACTCAATTTTGACATAAATCTTCTGACAAAAAGTTTGACAGCCTAAAAGGAATTCATAATGACAAAAAGTTGTTAGAGGTACAGAGTGTTCAATATAGGAGTAATCTTAATAATTACAAAGAGCCTGAACTAAAGACTTTGTATCTTTTTTTCCCCTTTTTTATAATTTTATTTATTGAATCACTGTGAGAGCAGTTACAAAGCTTTCAGGTTTAAATCTAGGTCATACAATGAAACACCCGTCCCTTCACCAGTGCCCATTCTCCAACACCAAAAAACCCAGTATACCCCCATCCCACAATCTTACCCCTACCTGTGGGGCAGATGATTTCCATAATACTCTTGCTACTTTGATTACATTCAATATTTTGACACCAGACCCACCGTAATTATTTGGGATTTTACCCCAACACTCAGATCTGCTGAAAAGGCAACAGTAGACAATATGTTTTCTATTGCTGGTTAAGAATAACATATGAGGGGCTGGAGCAATAGCACAGCGGGTAGGGCATTTGTCTTGCACGCAGCCAACGTGGCCGACACAGGTTCGATTCCCAGCATCCCATATGGACCCCCGAGCACCGCCAGGAGCAATTCCTGGATGCATGAGCCAGGAGTAACCCCTGAGCGTCACCGGTTGTGACCCAAAAAGCAAAAAAAAAAAAAAAAAAACCAAACATGAGGGAGCTGGAGAGATAGAACAGCGGGTAGGGCGTTTGCCTTGCACACAGCCAACATGGCTGACCCAGGTTTGATTCCCAGCATCCTATATGGTCCCCTGAGCACCGCCGGGAGTAACTGCTGAGTGCAGAGCCAGGAGTAATCCCTGTGCATTGCCGGGTGTGACCCAAAAAGCAAAAAAAAAAAAAGAAAAGAAAAACATATGATGTCATGTGGCTGCAGTAGTGGCCGCTGCGCAACTTTGAATTCCCGAAATTTTAACACTTAAATCTGGAGGGATTTCTGCCAAAACCTGCTTGGTTCCAAGATTTGTTCCTGAGTCTCTGGGATCATGGCCGTTAAGCAGCTTGATCAGGAGCCAGAAAGGCCGTTCATGGGCGGTGACTCAGGGTCTCCTTGGGGTGGGGACGAAAGGGCCGGCTTCAACCCTATCCCATGAGGCACTGCATGTCTCATCACTGAAGGCCCAAACCTTTACTGTCCAATCGTCTCTGGAGGATGGTGGCCACCGGGAACAGTAACCTACTGCGGGGTCTGGACGCATTTCTGTCAAAAGCCACTGGTTCCGAGATTTGTTTCTGAGTCTCTGGGATCATGGCCGTTAAGCAGCTTGATCAGGACCATAGAGGCTGTTCGTGGGCAACGACTTGGGGTCTCGTTGGGTCTCTTTGGCTCCACTGCCATCCCATGAGGCCCCGTGTGTCTTGTCACTGTGGGCCCAAACCTGACTGTCCAGTGGCCTCTGGAGGATGACGGCCACCGGCCCGCCAGGGGGAATAGGCCAAGGCAAAAAACCTATTCCCACCTGGGGTGGCCCAGAGCCGGTAACCTACTGCAGGGACCAGACGCATTTCTGCCAAAAGCCGTTGGGTTTTGAGATTTGTTTCTGAGTCTCTGGGATCATGGCCATTAAGCAGTTCAATCAGGAACCAGAGAGGCCATGTCTCCAATTATATAGCTGAGCTGGAGGTGGTTTGTGGGTGTGTCTCCCACATACCTAACTTTTGGCTGTTTACTTTCTTGGTAAACTTTGCCCCAAGTTTTTGGGGTCTGGCCAAAGGCACAGCAGCAAATTTGGGGTATCTGGAAGTCTGAAGGTACCATCAGGCTGCTGATGCACTCGCCTCACAGGTACAGACTGACCTGCTGGCAGCACCATATCCCCTAAGACTTTGTATCTTATTAGCAGTGCTCAGGAGTCACTCTTGGCTCCATGTTCAGGGGTCGTTCCTGGCAGTGCTCAGGGGAATCATATGATGTGCCAGGGATTGAACCAGGAACAACCATTTATAAGGCAAGTGCTTTATTCTCTGGAGTATTTCTCTGTCCCTGGGATAAAGATGTTTTTAAAAATAAAATTAGCTTTGTGCCGGAGCGATAGCACAGCAGGTAGGGCGTTTGCCTTGTACATGGCTGACCTCGGTTTGATCCCCAGCATCCCATATGGTCCCCCATATGGTCCCCCAAGCACCACCAGGAGTGCAGAGCCAGGAATAACCCCTGAGCATCGCTGGTTGTGACCCAAAAAGTAAAAAATTAAATAAATAATAAAATTAGCTTTGGAAGAGGTACTGATGAAAAAATTAAAATGACACACTGAGGGGCTGGAGATATAGCACAGCGGGTAAGGTGTTTGCCTTGCACGCAGCCGACCCGGGTTCGATTCCCAGCATCCCATATGGTCCCCTGAGCACTGCCAAGAGTAACTCCTGAGTGCAGAGCCAGGAGTAACCCCTGTGCATCGCTGGGTGTGACCCAAAAAGCAAAATAAATAAATAAATAAAAATAAAATAAAATGACACACTGAAGGAAATGTTGTTCAAGGAAATTTGATATAAATGTAGTGACAAGTGAATCACTTGTCAGTGATTAAGGACAAAGTAGTAATTTGAGATATGTTCTAAAGTAGAAACATTAGAAAGAATGTTACAAGGAATGTCATGTTAGAAGACCAAGATTTTGCTTGAAAACTGACTAAAGATGAAGTCAAGGGCTGGAGTGAGAGCACAGCAGATAGGGCGTTTGCCTTGCACGTGACTGACCCGGGTTCGATTCCTAGCATTCCATATGGTTCCCTGAGTACCGCCAGGAGTAATTCCTGAGCGCAGCCAGGAGAATCCCTGAGTATCGCTGGGTGGGTGTGACCCAAAAAGGAAAAAAAAAAAGATGAAGTCAATACATAAATTTAAAACTAGATTACACATAAATTTTTTATAGTTTGAGCCATGAAAGTGTAATTACATAGACATGTAGTTGTTCCAGTTTTGAGAAGTATAGAGCTAAATACCCAAGGTGGGTAGAAAGTTATGTGGACACAAAGTGTCCCTTCATTCCTTGAACAAATGTTTCTTTAATTACAATAAATTTTCTGAGAACTTTTGAGGACCAGTAAGGTGCATTTAGGGAGGAAGCAAGGCAACTGAAGCAGGGGTTAGAAAGATCAAAAGTGAAGGAGCAGCATTGAAAGATCAGAGCTTTATTGGGGAAAGAAATGATAGACTTCCCAACATGCTGTTAATCGGTGGCAACACTAAGTATGTACTGTGCTAAGGCTTATTATTCACTGGAATTTCATGGTTTCCCTTATTTATGAAAAAACAAAACAAAACAGGTGGAACAGCTGTGTGACCTTGGGCATACAGTCTGAGCCAAGCCAACTGTGGATTATCTGACTGAGGTCAGTATCACCTTCACTTCCTTACTGGACAGTAATTCTCAAATTTCTAAAGCTATACCATATCATTTTTCTAGAACTGTGCTTTAAACTGAGAGCTAAGCTCATTAATGGGTTAAAATGAGTCTAAGCAGAGCAGAAAATTCTGTTCTAATGTTTCATGAGAATTGTTTCAGCGATGTGTTGAGTTAGACTATATCACTTGCTTAAATAATTCACAGTCCATCTCTTCCTGATCTCTTTTGTCCCACAGTTGTCTCCCTGATGGCATCTGAAAAGGTCCCCTGTGCATTTACTGAATAAGGAAGTAACAGTTTGTGCTAAGAGATTAATAACTGATAATGAACTTAATATTCATGATCTTTCCTCCTAATAAAGCATTTATATTTTCAATAAGAATAATAGATTTTTCCCAGTGGATTGATTTTAGACAATGAAATAATTTGTTTCAGGAAGGGCTTTTCCACAATTCCATATTATCATTTTCAAAAGAACACCTTTTGGGAAAAAATACGTCATATGGCAGAACATTTGGCAAGGTGGAGAGCACTGACTCCAATGAAAGCACAGGGCCTTTACTTAGAAAAACCACAAAATGAACCTACCTCAGTGCATAATTTGATGTATAATGTCAACAAGATATAGGAATTCTAAATGATATTCTCATTTCTAAACAGCAGGTATAAACCACTGTCATTTGAATAGTATAATGTGTTCGTGTTTGATAAGGTCTTTAAGCTGAAACTTGTCTAGGACATGCCTCATTTGGGTTCTATCCCTGGCACTGCAAGGGGTAAAAAGTCTGTAATTTTTTTTTTTATAAATTTATTTATTGAATCACTGTGAGAACAGTTACAAAGCCTCGGATTTAAGTCTCAGTCATACAATGATGTAACACCCATCCCTTAACCAGTGCACGTTTTCCACCACCAAAAACCCCAGTATACCCCCTTCCCCCCACCTGTGTGGTAGATGATTTCCACATTACTCTCTCTCTACTCTGATTACATTCAATATTTTGACACCGGACCCATCACTATTATTTGGTATTTTCCTCGAACACTCAGACCTGCTGAAAAGTCATCATTAGATAATTTGTTTTCTATTGCTGATTATGAATAGCATGTGATGTCGCACTATCGCAGCCGCGTGATTTTGGATTTCTGAAACTTTAATAATTAAGTCTGGAGGGATTTCTATCAAAAACCGTTCGGTTCTGGGATTTGTTTTTGTGTCTCTGGGATCATGGCCATTAAGCAGCTTAATAAGTAGCCGGAGGGGCCGTTTGTGGGCAGTGACTGTCGACTCCTGGTCTCATTGGGGTAGGGGAGGACAAGGAAAGTCCATAATTTTAAAGTTACGAAAGCAACTTGAAACACAGACAGAAAGACGTGTACGCGTGTGCGCGCGCGCGCGCACACACACACACACACACACACACACACACACACACACAGCATGGGGGGGGGTGGGGAGAAGTACCTGCCATAGAGGCAGGCTGAGGATGGGGTGATGGGAGGGAACCTAGGGACACCGGTGCTGGGAAATATACACTGGTGGAGGGATGGATGTTGTAATACTGTATGACTGAAACCTAATCATGAATAGCTTTGTAAAGGCTTATCTCACAATGATTCAATTAAAAATGTTGAAACCAATCATTGTGTATGAGGCTTACAAAGGAAGAGTGAAATTTTATTTCTTTCACATTCTTAAAAGATTGCCTAGAAGGGCTAGAGTGATAGCACAGTGGGTAGGACGTTTGCCTTGCACTCGGCCGACCTGGGTTCGATTCCCAGCATCCCATATGGTCCCCCGAGCTCTGCCAGGAGTGATTCCTGAGTGCATGAGCCAGGAGTAGCCCCTGTGCATCGCCGTGTGTGACCCAAAAAGAAAAAAAAAAGATTGCCTAGAATTTATACTGTATTTTCATGGGCCACAGAGATAGTACAGGGGTTTATGTGTGTGCCTTGCATACTGCCTATCCCAGTTCTTTTGCTAGCATTGCCTTTGGTTCCCTGAGGACCACCAGAAGTGACTCAAGCATAGATCCAGGAGTAGCCCCTTAGCACTGCTGAGTGTGGCTCCCAAAGCATGCCCACTCAAAGTGATTTAGACAAATTTGTAAGACCTATATGATAGAGGTTTTAACATTTTTTTAAAATAGAGACCAGAGTGTAGTATGGTGGATAAGGTGCTTGCCTTGTAGGTGGCTAACACGGGTTCAATCCCCAGCACCACAGTCTCCTGAACCCCAACAGAAGTGATCCCTGAGCACAAGTCAGGTGTATGTCCTGAACATAGCTTAATGTGGCCCCAAACCAAAACAAAGCTTTTTTTAAAAAAAAATTAAGTTCACAATAATTTATTATATTCAATATTCAAACACCACTATTATACCTTCCCACCACCATTACTTTGAATTTTCCCACCACTGCCACTCAAGACTGCCCTCAAACACATTAGCCATGTGATTCTGCACGTCTTAAGTGGAGGAGGGGGAAGAGATCAGATCTACCTTCAAGTACGGTTTGGAATGAAAAACGCACACAATGCAGGGAATCATGTAGCAAGGTGATAGATATTCTGCACAAGCAGCTGCCAAGGCGCAGGAATCCTGTTTAAAGCAAGCAAGGCTGTTTCCCGCATTCCCACAACTCCCATGACTCCGGCCCCGCCTCCCGGGTGGCGTCGCTGTCACTATGGCAACAAGCACACAGCCGCGGCGGTTACAGAACTCAGCCACCCGCACCCGGCTCTCGGCGGACGCACGACTCCGCGGTCTGTCCCGACCCCACTGGCACCCTACATTGACCTCCTTCGGGCGGACAGCGAAGAGCCCCGGTGCAGAATGGCCCGGGGAACCGTCCCTTCCCCGCTGGACGACTTGGACCTCAGCGGCGAGGAGGTCCGGCGCCTCACCTCCGCCTTCCGGGACCCCGAGTTCCGGCGCCTCTTCTCCGAGTACGCCGAGGAACTCACGGACCCGGAGAACCGGCGGCGCTACGAGGAGGAGATCACCGCGCTGGAGCGTGAGCGCGGAGTGGACGTGCGGTTCGTGCACCCGCAGCCGGGCCACGTGTTGCGCACCAGCCTGGACGGGGCGCGGCGCTGCTTCGTGAATGTGTGCAGCAACGCGCTGGTGGGCGCGCCCAGCTGCCGGCCGGGCGCCGGGGCCGCGGTGGCCGGCAGCCACTGGTCTCTGCCCTACAGCCTGGCCCCCGGCCGCGAGTACGCCGGGCGCGGCGGCACCCGCTACACCGTCTACGACGTGGTCTACCACCCGGACACGCTCGCGCTGGCCCGGCGTCACGAGCCCTTCCGCCAGATGCTGGATGCCACGGCCCTGGATGCTGTTGAGCGGCAGTTCCACGTGAAGCTGGACCGCCGGAATGCCAAGACCCTGAAGATCAAGTACAAGGGGACCCCGGAGGCAGCCGTGCTCCGCACGCCCCTGCCTGGGGGCGCCCCTGCCCGGCCGGACGGGGAGCCCGAGAGTCCTCTCCCCGATTTCCCCTACCCCTACCCCGCAGCGGCGGGGGACTCCACGGCCCGCCAGCAGCCCGCGCCCCCGCGGCCCGAGGCGGTCCCGCCAGCCGCCCCCACCGAGCCTCGCTACAGCGTGGTGCAGCGCCATCACGTGGACCTCCAGGATTACCGCTGCTCGCGGGACTCGGCCCCCAGCCCGGTGCCCAAGGAGCTGGTGGTCACCATCGAGCTGCCGCTGCTCCGTTCGGCGGAGCAGGCGGCGCTGGAAGTGACCGGGAAGCTTCTGAGCCTCGACTCGAGGAAACCCGACTACCGGCTGCGGCTCTCGCTCCCTTATGCGGTGGACGACAGCCGCGGCAAAGCGCAGTTCAACAAGGCCCGGCGGCAGCTGGTGATCACGCTGCCCGTGGCGCCGGGGGCCGCGCGCCGGGGACCCGCTTTCGAGCCGGAAGAGCCGCCCGGAACTGACGGCGCTCCCTGCGCTTCCGCCGGCGACGGGGAGGCGGGCCCGGACGGGGGGTCCGTGGGGGATCGAGCCTCGAGTCCCATCCACGCCGCGCCTGCGGACGCCGCGATCCCCGACTCGCCCGCCGCAGCCGGAGAGGCGCTCGTCTCCGCGCCGGAGGGACGCGACAGTGGAGAGCGAGTAGGGACCGCTGCGAGCAGCCAGGAGGAAGCGCCCCCCGGAGACAGGGGCTCCCCGTGCCTTTCTCCTGCGGACCCACGAGTAAACGTGTGCGGCGATCTGGGCTCGGAGACGCACGTGGCGCCGCTGGATGGAGCCATGGGCGGCCCCGACGCCGGTCGCGGGGTAGCTTTGTGCCCCCCTCTGCAGTGTGACCAGGACGGAGAGTCCCTGACTCTGCTCGTTCGAGTGCCCCGCATCCAGCCGCAAAGTCTTCAAGGGGACTTGAGCCCCCAACGGTACAAACTAGGCTTCTCCACAGAGGACTCCGTGTCTTATTCCTTCTTGTTGCAGTTTGCTCCAGAGAATAAACTGAGCCCCAAAGAACCGGTCATTGACATCTCTTCAAACAATGCTGTGATCGAGCTGGCCAAATCTCCAGAGAGCCATGGACATTGGAGAGAGTGGTATTACGGTTTAAACGACGAGTCTCTGGAGGTAACTTGCAGTTCTTTTTAAAATCTTAAGATTCGGAATGCGTGTTTCATTCGTCTCTTAAATTTTGCAGTGTTTACACACCCCCTCGCGGTTTATTTTAAGCAGAGCCTTTTCCGCTGTAATTTATTTCATAATGACTTGTAGATGATACATCTGGGTATTGTATTGAGAAAAACAAAGGACTCAAATATATCTCCTCAAGTGCATGGGATTAAAAATCTCCCAAGGTGTTTGTTCTTAATATAGCTGTTTCCTTGGAGTTCTTGACCTCTAAGGAGGACTACGTTGGATTTCTGGGGATTCAGATCTCTGAAGCTGGATCTGAACGTTGAGGGCACTTCCTTCAATAAATACGTAATAGGCCTTTTTCTTTTTGCAGAAGTCACTTTTTCATTTAAAAACGTTTTTTGATGTTTGGAACACACCCAGAGACGCTCAGGGCTAACTCCTGACTCTGGACTCAGGGATCAGTTCTGAAGGGGATGGGGACATTACATGAGGGTGCTGGGAACCAAATTGTATCTGTTGCATGAAGCTCAAGGCCATACCTGCCATATTCACTATGGCCCCTGTTAAGTAACTTTTAAAACTAATGTGAACAGTTGATGATTTTAATTGATGTTCTTATCTTGTTCCATGTAGCGTTTTTAGCTTTTGGAAAAAATACATACCAATATTCAGGGGGTATATTCTTAGAAACATTAGTTGCACAGATTAAAAAAAAAATTAGGGGGCTGGAGCGATAGCACAGCCGGTAGGGTGTTTGCCTTGCACGTGGCCTACCTGGTTTCAATTCCCAGCATCCCATATGGTCCCCAGAGCACCGCCAGGAGTAATTCCTGAGTGTAGGTAGAGCCAGGATTAACCCCTGTGCATTGCTGGGTGTGGCCGAAAAAGCAAAATAAATAAATTAAAAAAAAATTTAACTTGAGTTTAAAAATGTCAAAATTTTCACTACACTGTTTTCATTTTTTTGCGGAATGAGGTGAGATTTGGGTCCAACCCAATGTTGCTGGAGGCTACTACAAGATCTGTGCCTAAGGATCACTCTACTTGGAATTGGAATATAGTTGGGCTGTGCTTTACCCTGTACTACTTGTCAATCCCTATTTATTGTTTCGCTAGAAAGTTGGCTAATAAATTGTTTCTTATAATGATGGTATCTTCTGTGAGGATTGGGCAATTTGAAACCCTCTGAAAATGGTAAAATAGCCAAAGACAACTCAAGGAATCTAGTGCATGCTTTGTATGTGGAAGGCCTGGGTTGGATCCCTGGCATCACTTGTGAGCACAGACCTGGAAGTAGCCCCCAGTACCGCTGACTCTCGCTCCTCCCCCAAAATAATAAAACAAAATGGTAATTAGGAGGTTTCCCCACTCGGAGAAAGCCTGGAGATGTCAGTCCCAGGTCTTTGTGACACACACCCAAATTTTCAGCAGGTTAATTTCTGGTACCAGAGATGAAATCCAGATATCCTGTTTACAAGGAGCTGGGTGTCAAGGATCAGGACAAAATTGCTGCAAAACTGTTTGATTAGTCCTTGGTGTGAGTGAGCTAAAGCATCATGAATACTTGTCTTGCTGAAAACAGACAAAAGAATGTGAGGCCAGATGTGTTCCATTGGGAGAGTGAAATAGCAGAGTTCTCAGAAGTCCCAGCCTGACATCACAATGAAGCTCTTGGTAAAAAAGATAAGCAGCATGAGAGGAAACAATAGTTATCCCTCTGAAAGGGACTCAACAAAATGAAAAGGAGATCTAAACTGTTCCCACTGAAACTTTGTAATATGCCTGTCAAGTTGACAGGTGGGGATGGGGTGAGGGTCGGATTGGGGAGGGAATATGGAAACACTGGTGGAGGGAAGTTGACATTGGTGGGATTGGTGTTGAATATTATATGCCTAAAACTCAACTATCAGTAAATAGCCAGGCGAGGTAAGATATGTTGTGAGAATATAAAATAGAAAAATGACATCAGTTTATCCTTTATTTATTTATTTATTTTTGCTTTTTGGGTCACACCCGGCGATGCACAGGATTTACTCCTGGCTCTGCGCTCAGGAATTACCCCTGGCGGTGCTCAGGGGACCATATGGGATGCTGGGAATTGAACCTGGGTCGGCCGCGTGCAAGGCAAACGCCCTACCCGCTGTGCTATTGCTCCAGCCCCAGTTTATCCTTTAAAAGGGAGAAATTAAAGGAAAGGGCAGTCATTTTCCTGTAATTATTTTAATAAATAAAATAACACTGTGAAAAGCAGCTTTATGGATAAACTGTTCAGAAAATACTACTGAGGAAAAAAGCAAATACTTAGCAAAAAGAGATAGTTCAGCTGGTAAGGTGCTTGCCTTGCATGCAAGCCAACCTGGGTTTTGTTCCCAGGCAGCACAACATATAGTCAGTTCCACAAGCACCACAAGGAATGATCTCTGAGCACAGAGCAAGCAGTAGAGTAAACCCTGAGCAACACTGAGTGTGGCCCAAAAGACAACAACAACAACAACAACAAAAGAATACTAAGAATACTAACACTAAGGAATAATACTAAGATAGTATAGAGGTAAGGTGCTTGCCTTTATACAGCTGACCTGGGTTCAATTTATGTGTCACATATGATCCCCTGGATCACACCAGAAGTCACCCCTAAGCTAGCAGGGTGTAGCTCCCCCCCCCCCCAAAATAGTAAGGAATATATATTTTAATCCAATTTTCTACAATTAGGCAGCTTTGTTTATATCTTGGAAACCTGAAACAGATTTATAATTACTTCTGTAATCACTTTTCGGGGGGGCACTCATTGTTTGGTCCTCACCTGGTGGTGCTCAGCCCTTACTCCTGGCTCTGTGCTTCTGGATCACTCCTGGTGGGGCTCAGGAAACTACATAACCACAAACCTTATGTGGATTCAGGATTGAACCTGAATCAGCTCTCTGAACGACAAGTTCCTTACTTGCTATACTATCACTGTGTCCCTAATTTTCATTTTTTATTTTTATTTTTTGCATAGGGATTATTCCTGGCTCATGCACTCAGGAATTACTCCTGGCAGTGCTCAGGGGACCATATGGGATGCTGGGAATCGAACCCGGGTCAGCTGTGTGGAAGGCAAATGCCCTACACGCTATGCTATTTCTCCAGTCCCCCAATTTTCATTTTTATTAAGATTGATGTTCATTTTTTTTTCTTTTTATGGTTCACTGAATATTTTTTATTTTTTGTGCCTATACTGCCAAGAGCTACTCCTAACTTGGTGCTGGTAGCAGGATGGGGGTGCTCCCTAAAAGTGATGGGGGTACTATGCAGTACCTGGGATCAAATTCAGGGCTCTTGCTTGCAAATCATGAGACCAGCCCTTTGAGCTCTTTTCTTTGGTCCAAAACTAATGTTTTGTTCTTTAATCACAGGAGTAAGGGGGTGAATAGATACGGAATTAATATATTACACAGTTTTGCAGGGTTCTTGGCAACCACAGCCAGCAGTGCTCAAGGCCTATTCCTGGCTCTGCTCTGGGAATCTTAAATGGTCCCTGAGATGGAATCAGGGTAGGCTATATGCAAGGAAGCACCTTAGTCACTGTACTTGTACTATCTTTTCAATCCCAGAATTAGTATATGCATCATGTGAAAATAATTACAATGTAAAGAGACTGATTTGTGGTTATGGTGATCAGAATTATTACTTATGCATAGCAAATAGAAATATATTTATTACCCTTAAACATTTACTGGGAACTTTCCTAGAGCTCTAAGACCACTGAATTTCAGTGTGTCTATAATAGTATCAACCATTAGAATGATAACAGTTTTGTCCAATACTTTGTATTTTAATGACAACTACCATTTACATTATAAATACTGTTTTCCCTTATGCTAATAAAGACTAAACTAATACATAAAACTGGGAGTAGCCCCTCAGCACCGCTGGCTCTGGCCTTCCATGGCCCCAAAATAATAATAAGTCAAAATGATAGCCTAGGTAAGATATTTTGCTAGAATACGAAACGGAAAATGACCTCTGTCTATAAGTTTAAATATTGCCTTTAGGGGAGGCTTCAGAGATAATACAGAAGGTAAGGTGCTTGTTTTGCCCACAGTTAACTAGAGTCTTTTCCCCAGCACCCCATTTCTTTCCCAAAAACTTCCCAGAGTGATTCCTGAGCTCAAGAGCCAGCAATAAGACCAGAGAACTGCTAAGTGTGGCCCATAAACAAAACCAAAAACAGGAACATAAGCAGCACTGTATGACCGGGTCAGATATTAATTTTATTTGGGATGTTTTGGGGGAGGGGTTGTCACATCTATGGTGCTTAGAGCTTACTTCTGGCTTTTTATATCCAGAGATCACACCTGCCAGAGCTCAGAGAACTATGTAGGGTGCCAGGATAAAACCCAGGTCTGCCAAATGCAAGGCAAGCGCTCTATCTGCCGAATTATTTATTCCCTTAGCTCCAGTTCAGAATTGGGTATTTAAATCCTTATCCAGATGCAAGGCAAGTGCCCTACCTGCCATGCTATTTATTCCTCTAGCCCCAGTTCAGAGCTGGATATTTAAATCCTTACCTGGGGCTGGAGAGATAATACAGCAGGTAGGTTGATTGCCTTGCACATGGAGGCCCAAGTTTGATCCCTGGCACCCCATATGGTCCCCTGAGCACTGCCATTAGGGATCCCTAAGCACAGAACTAAGAGTAAGCCCTGAGCATCAGTTGTGCCTAAAAAACTAAATAAATTCACATCTGACTCTGAGTTTGCTTTCCTATCTATGAACTATGTAGTACATAGTTGAAAATATTTACTTTATAAGCATGTAAAATATTATTTGCCAGCTTAAAACCTTGCCATGATAGACTGCTTCTTAATTCTCTTTGGGTGAAAAATCCCTTTAAGAATATGACTTCCACTCCTGCGAATATATCCCGGAGAGGCAAAAAAGTATAGTCGAAATGAAATCTGCACTTCTATTGCTGCACTGTTAACAATAGTCAAAATCTGGAAAAAACCCGAGTGTCTGAGAACAGATGACTGGTTAAAGAAACTTTGGTACATCTACACAATGGAATACTATGCAGCTGTTAGAAAATATAAAGTCATGAAATTTACATACAAGTGGTACTATATGGAAAGTATCATGCTAAGTGAAATAAGTCAGAAAGAAAGGGACAGACATAGAAAGACTGCATTCATCTGTGGAATATAAGGTAACAAAATAGGAAACTAATACCCAAGAATAGTCGAGATAAGTACCAGGAGGTTTGCTCCATGGCTTGGAGGCCAGCCACACATGCAGGGAAAAGGCAGCTCAGAAAGAGAAGGGAGCACCAAGTAAAGGGTGTTGGGAGGATCCACCCAGGATGGGAGATACATGCTGAAAGTAGACTATAGACTGAACATGATTGCCACACAATGCTGCTTTTGTAGACCACAGCACCCAAAAGGAGAGAGAGAACAAAAGGGAATGCCCTGCCACAGAGGCGGGGCAGGATGGGGGGGGGATAGGGAGGTGGGAGGGATACTGGGATCATTGGTGGTGGAGAATGGGCACTGGTGGAGGGATGGGTACTCGATCACTGTATAACTGAAACCCAAGCACAAAAATTTGTAAGTCTACAATTGTACCTCATGGTGTTTCACTAATAAAAATTTAAAAAATAAATAAAATTAAATAAATAAAAAAATAATAAAAAATATAATAAAAAAATAAAAACAACAAAAAACAAAAAAAGACTTCACCTGGGAAAATTGCATAGCAGGTACAGAACCCCTAAATACAGAACTAAAGAATAGCTCCTGAACGCCGCTGGGTGTGCCCTCAACCTTTCCCAAGATATACACATAAAACAGTATTTTTAAAAGTGTAATCCTGGGAGCTGGAGAGATAGCACAGCGGGTAGGGCGTTTGTCTTGCACACGGCTGACCCGGGTTCGATTCCCAGTATCCCATATGGTCCCCTGAGCACTGCCAGGAGTAATTCCTGAGTGCAGAGCCTGGAGTAACCCCTGTTCATCGCTGGGTGTGACCCAAAAAGAAAAAAAAAAGTGTAATCCTGAACTACATGAGAAATTGTATGTTTTTAGGTACAACTGTGTGAAATCTGGCTTATAAGGCAAACTACTTTTTCCCTTTTTATTTTAGGAAAGATTTTTTGTCAATGAAGATAATGTTAATGAGTTTCTTGAAGAAGTCATGAGCTCTCCATTCAAACAGACAAAGCCTCTAACCCCACCATTAATAGAAGTTCTACAGGTTACTGACAGCAAAATTGAAATTCATGCAAAGGTATGAATGGATATGAAGAGTAATGATTTTTAGGACATGATTAAAGCTATCAAATCACTTAAATTTTTTTCTTTTTTTTTTGCGCTTTTTGGGTCATACCTGGCAATGCTCAGGGCTGACTCCTGGCTCTGCACTCAGGAATCACTCCTGGCGGTGCTCACGGGACCATATGGGATGCTGGGAATCCAACCTGGGTTGGCCGCATGCAAGGCAAATGCCCTACCCACTGTGCTATTGCTCCGGCCCCCAAATCACTTAAATTTTTGTACTTAAGTTTAGCAGTTTAACATGTGAATTCATTTTTGTGTTATCTCATTAAATCTCGTGTTCAATTAAAAATGGAAAGGAACTAACATTTCAGAAGTTCGTAAATAATTGACTCTTTTAAACTAAAGAAAGCACATCATCTAATGTGTATGTTCTTTCTTAGTTGAATCCTAAGTTTAATTTTTTTAATTAAAGTTTTTGGGTTTTGGGCCACACATATTAGTGCTCTAAGCATACTCCTGGCTTTGTTCATGTATCTCTTTCCCAGTGGTGTTCTGGGACCCTATGTAGTGCCATGGATAAAATGGGGTTGGCCACATGTAAGACAATCATCTTAACCACTATACTTCTCCCTCTAGTCTTAATTTTGTATCCAAAATTCAATATTGTAAAAAAAAATTATATAGTAAAAGCACGATCTGACTTTGATGTATGAATGTGGGTGGGGGTATTACCTCTGAGAGTCACAGAATGTCTTTAATGAAAAATGATTAATTATTGTGACTATGTTCAAAGTTTGCATTATTTCATAATAAAAATGAGTCATTTGGGGGCCAGAGTGATAGTAACAGTGGGTAGGGTATTTGTCTTGACCCAGTAGACCTGGGTTCAATCCCTGGCATCCCATATGGTACTTCAAGCACCAAGCCAGAAGTAACCCCTGAGCATCGCTGGATGTGACCCAAAAAGCAAAAATAAATAAATAAGTTATTTGGAAGGGTTTTATTGGAATTTCCAGGTTTCTATTTTTTGCATTGTTAAATGCATTTGTAGAGTAACTTTTGAGATAGAAGCTTGGAAGCTATTGTAGGTCTGGAAGGGTTATTTATTCCCTCATATCTGAAATCTTATGGGGAGGAGAGATGACTGAAAAGGCTAAAGTTCATGCTTTATATACTGGAGTCCAAGGTATGATACCCGGCTAGAGTGTCCCCTAAGCCTCAGTGGGGAGTGGCCCCAGCAATGTCAGGTGTGACTTCAAAACAAAAATACCAAAAAACAAACAAACAAAAACACCCCAGCCCCTGAACACTTAATTCTATGGGTCCTTCAATTTAATTTTCGATTTGTATCAAAGAAATATTTGTTGTTTCTCTTAATATAGTTGCAAGAAAACAGTAAATCTGATCAGCTTCATGAAAAAGAAGAAACAGTCAATGAAGAAAGTCATCTTGCAGAAAAAGAAAATACAGAATTTCCTACCACCTCAAAAAGTAATTCTGATTCATCCTTTATTGTTAAAGTACTACAAACAGATGGTTGTGATTCAGTTGCATGCTTGCAACAAGAATCTATTGATGGCTCTCAAATACTGTCTGGAAAGTCTCAGCAACCTGAATCAGAAATGAAAACAGAATATAAACAAGAAAAATATGCTATTTACTCAGAGGATGAAAAAGATAATTCGAAAGGAAAAGAAATAACTGAAGAGAAAGAATTTGATGAAGATTACTTATCTTCAGTACCAAACAAAACTAGAGTTCACAATATACCTGGTTTTGACACAATTAAAGAAACCAACATGCTGGACGGTAGTGTGCAAATTATTAAGGATCATGTGACCAACTGTGCATTCAGCTTTCAGAATTCTCTGCTGTATGACTTGGATTAATTCTATATATGTCTAGAAAGGTAAAAGAATAAAACTTAAAATAGGTCCTGTTAAGTCCTGTTAAGTATTTTTTAAATGAGATGTGCAAGAAAGTATAAAATTAAAATTTGGAGGCTGGATAGAGTATAGTGAATAAGACTACTTGGATGTGACCCAAAAGCTAAAAAAATTAAAATTTGTATTATTCTAAAGGGGAAACAAGATGTTTAATTTTTATTTTGGATCTAGATGGTTTATACAAAGTTTCCTGATCATAAAGATATTTTATGATTAATATATTGATAAAATGGAGTTCACTATTTAATAAAGTTAACTTATATGTATGTCTTCGCTTCCTTTGTTTTAGAACATCCCTAAATGGCGTGTACCACATAATCACTAAGAATGCAGTTCACTAGAAATACTGTGTTACGTGGAAGAGTAGAATCTCAGAATATTTATGAATGTCACCAGGATGTTAAAATTCTTAGCGAAATGAACTTTACTAACTAGCAGCCCAACCAATAATAATATAAATACACTGAATTAAACTATTTTTGTTTCAACTCTTTCAATCTTTTTGTCATACAAAACATAGTATGTGATACGGGTTATTCTGTAATGACTGCAAATTTAGTTAAAACTTTTGAAACTTACATTTCTAAAACATCTTGATTTTATAGAATACTTATAGGAAGTTTAGAACAGGGTAAAGAAATCTAGAAGTCTGTACACATAGCAAAATTGTTATATATCACACAAAAACAACAAAACGCCTGTTTTGTAAACAGTTTGTTTTATAACACCTTAAAAGGGCTGCAGGTAGTTTCTGTGACTGGTTAAATTATAAGTTTTGTAACCAGGAGATAATCCTAGATTTCTCAAAAGATTTTTGGAGAGGAGCAACCAAGAACAGCTGAGAATAGCCAAAGCACCCTAAATACAATCTAGTAAGTTTTAGATCATCTAAAAGATAACAGGAAGTAAATTTTTTTTTTCACTTTTTGGACCACTCAGCAATGCTCAGGGGTTACTCCTAGCTCATGCACTCAGGAATCACTCCTGGTGGTGCTCAGAGGACCACATGGGAAGCTGGGAATCTAAACCATGTTGGCTGAGTGCAAGGCAAATGCCCTATCCACTGCGCTATCATCACTACAGCCCCAGGAAGTAAAATCTTTGCTGACCTGGTTGCTAAACTCAAGGCCATGTGCTGATTCAAACAATTACTTTAGTCTTGGATATCCTGTAACTTTTTTAGTCCTTTGAACTGGGGAGGTTAGAGCACACACAAAAAAGTGGTACAAAGTCTGACAATTCATTGATTTTCATTTACAACTTTGGTAAAATTTGAAGCCAGATGGAGCTGGGGGCAATATAAAGGTAGCACATAAAACAGAATTTTATTTGCCTCACCTTAGAGAATACATATTTCAACCAGACTTAACTCAGTGAAAAGAGACTAATATGCTGCTTTCTCAGATTGAAATGGATCTACACAAACTGGTTTTGGATTTTTGGTTGAACCAACTTACATGCAGCTAAGGAAAACATTTAAATACATAGAAAAGAAGCTGGAGATAGTATAAAGCAGGTAAGGCACTTACCTTGCAGGTAGGTGCCCATCTGGGTTTGATCCCTGGCATCTCATATGGTCCCTCCCCCCAAGCAAAGCCAGGATTTAACTTCTGAGCATCAAAGAGTGTGACCCCCAAACTGGGAGACTGTTCAGTCATCTGCTTCCAATTACTGTGTCCTTTCAAAAAGTATGATTTCACGGAGGGAGAGCAATAGTAGGGTGCTTGCCTTGCACTCCTGGTGGCCAAGCACCACCAGGAGTGGAGTTAAGGTCTGAGCACAGCAGGGTGTGGCCCAAAAAGCAACAGAACACAAGATTTCTGTTAAACTACAGCAAGCACCACAGTATGTTTCACTTGGCATGACTGAACTTTGTATCATTTGAAAACAATTTAGACTGTTCTTTCACTTTACAGGGCTTTTTTTCCCCCCCTGTTATCTGTGTAATCTTGCTAATCTTAGAGAGCTGGGTTCCTTTTATTTCCTGTACTGTTATACAATGTACAAATAATATGAGTATGTAATACTAACTTTAAAACTTTGAGAATGCTTTGAATTGAAATTTGGTGTAAACAACTTACTCTGCAAAACGATAAGGAATCTTTTTATGCAAAAATGAATATTTTATTTTGGCAGCACTAACAGAAAATAAAAATGAAACCACTGTATTTCTACATTGAGGTGTAAATTTGAAACTTTCTTAACAATCAAATACATTCCAAAAGAAAGTGTGTCTATGAAGTTTCCAAAGCACAGGCAAATCTTAACACAGTAATACAGGAATCCTTAATACTGAAAATGGCTGTTTTGCTGGGGTGTTTAGCAAATAACAACTTCTGAATTATAAATCCTGTAAAGCAATCCCTATAACTGTGTCAATAGTGAAATTGGGTTTATTTCATTAATACTCTAGCAATTTCATTGTAATACTTTTTACTGCTATGACAATCTTAAATTTTGCTGTACTTAAAATGTTTTGAAAGTGGAAAAGTGTATAAAGTTCCAGATAAAAAGACTAATATGATTTAAATAAAATTCCCTTTCCTCTAATCCAATTAACAATAATTACCTTTAGCAGATAGATTTTTTAAAATTTTTCAAATGAAGATTTGTGTAATAAATCTTAATCAGACATAACTGGAAAATATTACATATCTGAATACCTTTTACAATAATTTTTTTAAAAAAAATTAAAGCAGAAGTCAGTCCCTAAACCCCCTTTTTAAACTGTATATTCTGTTCAGACAAATATCAAAACTTGACTGTCACTTTCGCTTTTGTTAACTGATTTTTCTCACTGCAATCTTCTATAACTTTTACAGAGTTCTTGGTCCCTAATATCTCCCCACCCTCCATTTTTCCTAGCTGCTACAGGGGCTACCATACCAAATTTCTTCCTTATACTTAGAGTTTCTGGAAACATGTATTGTTTATTATTGTTTAAGAGTAACTCAATTTGGGCACCCTGCGTGGATGGTCTACAGGTTTTCTTGTGGTGCAGGCCACAGTCTCCAGCATGAAAAATCCTAGGAACCTGAGGAACCAGCACTTCCCAGACTTTTGGAAGACAAGAGACAGTCAAATATTGTAGAGTCCAGTCCCAGTTATAGTCATCATAAGTACAGAAAGCGTTTGTGCATTGGATCAACTTTTGATAGGCCTCTCGGGTCAAGGCTAGGCCCATATTGTGCTCAGTGGATTTCCAAGTTTTCACGTCCACCTTGTCCGCTATGCCTGCGAAATTGCCCACGGGCGTGTAGGACCCCAAGGAGAGCACATCGCACTCAGGGCACTCCTTCTGCCTCAATCCCCACATCTTCTTCAAGACATGGAAGAAGTCAGGGGCCATGTAGTGGTCCTCCTCCAGGAAAAGCATGAGACCATCGTAGTCCTGAAGAACTTTGACCCTCTCCCACACAAAATGCAGCTTCCACCACCAGTGATGCTTCACTTGTGAGAACTTGGCTTCTCGATAGTGGCCGAAAGAGTCAGGGTACTCGGCGTTTATGCACCCCAGCTTCAGGGCCGCTCTCTTATCTAGATCTCGGGGGCAATCTCTGGGGTCACTGCCCGGAAATTCGTTGGGGTACAGCTGCATGCTGAAAGGGAAGAACACCTGCAGCACTGGGCAGAAATCCACACTGGCCACCAGCTGGTTGATCTCCGGAGACCAGAAGTCGTGGCTGAAGATGACTAGGACGTCCCCGATGCCCCGGGCTTTCCGAAGGGAGTCGAGCAGCAGCCGCAGGTACTCGGGCCTGTTGTGCACCTGGACCACCAGCACCAGCTCTCGCGGGGGCCACGCGGCGGCCTTGTCCACGTTCCTCAGCGTCTGGTCGAAGTTCAGCTGGTATACCAAGGACCGGTACCGCAGCGTCTGGTTGTCCGCCTCGCGCTGCGGGGCCGCCGACTCGTTGGCGAGCCGGCGGATGCCCACGGACACGGCGGGATGCTCAGCGGCCCGGCTGCCCGCCCCTCGCCCCGGCTCGTCCAGCAGCGGCGGGCCGAGGAGCTCGTTTTTCCGCTGTCGCCCATTGCTGCTCCAGAGGACGAAGCCGCAGGCGGCCACCACGAGCGTCAGGATCAACACCTTCCGCTTGTAGATGCGGAACCTCATGGTCTCCCGGGCCGGCGCCGCGGGCGAGCGGGCGCGGAAGGGAACGAGCGGCTCCGGCACGGCCCGGGGGAGGGTGGACAGCTGCCGCTGCCTCGGCCTGGGGCTGGAGCAACCGACCCCCGCGGCGGCTCTCGCTAACTCATCCCGGGGCCCCGGGGGGGTCCTGAGGCACGAAGGCGCTCAACTCCCAGACGCCGCCCGGCACCCACACATCCTAGGCTGGCCGAGCCAGGCGGGGCAGCGCCCCGCCGCTAGGAGCTGCGGCTCGGGGTCGCTTCGGTCCTCTCCATTCAGCACGGATCCCGGAAGAAGTCCTGCCACGGCCCCCACAGCTCCCAAGTCTCACCACCTGCGACGCCCGGGGCCCGGCGTCCTCCGCGCTCTCATCCTTCCGCGGGCCGGGAATCCGGCAGGACCCAACGGCGCTGCCTCGCTTGCTCGGCCGCCGACCGTTCTGACAATCCGCGACTGGCCCGCGGAGCACCGCGGCCCTCGGGCCCACACCCCTCCGGCCCGCCCCTCGGGCCGCTGATTGGCGTCTCCGGACGCACCCAGAGACGCCAGGCAGTGGCTGTCGGCAGCCTATTGGACTGTGGTCCTGTCACTCAGAGGTCGCTTCTACTTCCGCTGCTTTCCTCCCTTTCCGGTTAGAAGCGCTCAGAGGGGAGTGGAGCTTAAAGACCCGAATTTTCAGGTAAACTGAGATTGCGTTGGTGACACTTCCCGCTGGGAGGGCCTCCGAGGCTCCGAAACGGGGGCACAGGGGCCAGACCACCTGGGAGGCCAGGGAAGGCGGGGCCCGCAACCTTCTTGGTAGAACGCAACAGCTGGCCTTTCTCTTCTGGAAGGGCGCGGGGGGCGGAGGAGAGGGGGGAGCGCCTGACGAATGGCGGCCCCCGGGTCGGCTGGCACCCGAATTAAGGACACGTCAGCCTTCAGGGCTGCTCACGGAGATGGTGCTGCGAGGGTGGTTGTCGGAGAAGGCGCTGGGGCGGGCCCACGCAGTCGCCCCACCTCGCGCACTGACCCCGCTTCCCGGCAACCGGAGCCTGGAGGGGGAGGGGGCCTAGAGCGGAGGGCTGACCAGGGAAGCGTCCCGGCCCTCTTTCCGCCCACAAAAATTAGGGGGACGCCGCGACAGTAAACCGAGCCTCGGGGTACTGACCTTACGGGGCGTGTCTGTGCCGCTCCTTTAGGCGGTTTTTTTAGGAAAGACTCATCGCTGCTCCTGAGAGTCCCGGACCCCCAAGCGGCGTACACGCGCGTGGCCACTTAGTAAGTGAAAATCGGTGGATGCGCCCGTGGCGGGGAGGGGGTTTCTCACTCGGGAAAGCGCGTTGTTTTTCCTGAGTGTGGCACATATTGAACGTGTTTGACCGCAGTTTTAATCCTGCCGACAGTCCAGCTGCCACGATGGTCAACGTACCCAAAACCCGGCGGACTTTCTGTAAGAAGTGCGGGAAGCATCAGCCCCACAAGGTGACCCAGTACAAGAAGGGCAAGGAGTCCCTGTACGCCCAGGGGAAGCGGCGCTACGATCGCAAGCAGAGTGGCTATGGCGGGCAGACCAAGCCCATCTTCCGCAAGAAGGCCAAGACCACCAAGAAGATCGTGCTGCGGCTGGAGTGTGTGGACTCCAACTGCCGATCCAAGAGGATGCTGGCCATTAAGAGATGCAAGCATTTTGAACTGGGAGGAGATAAGAAAAGAAAGGGCCAAGTGATCCAGTTCTAAATTGCCCATTCCTTGGTTTATTGTCATGTTTTTGTTCCAGATGCCTGGGACCAAACCCAGTATATCACCCAGTTCGAGGCATGCCTCCTGTATCCCTGAGCCACACTCCTATTCCAGTCTTGTTCTTTTTTGTTTGTTTGTTTTGTTTTTTATTTGCTCTTCATGTCCCGATCTTGTTTTTGAGTGTAAAAATGTGGATATTGTTAATGTTTTAAGAGTTGTTTTACCTGTATGAAAATAAATGCACTGATTTCTTACTCGAATCTTTTCTTTCAGGTACGGACTCCCAACACCTTACTGTGGTTTGTAATTGAGGAAATAAGTGTAAATTCCTTTTTGGGGGAGTTTGTCTTTTGGGCAACACTTTGTGTTTGGGGCTCTGTGCTCACAGATCATCCTGGCACCTCAGGAGACCAAACCTGGGTCAGCCACTGAAGCACCATACTGTGAATCACCATACTCCTGTCTTTCTAGCTCCCAAAGTAAAGTTTTAAGTGATTAACTGGAGTTTTAAGTTATTAACCTGAAACCCTCATTTTCATTTAGGTCCAGAAGAATTGGAATGTTGGGATGGAGTGACAGGACAGTGGGTAGGGCTTTTACTTTGAACACAGCTGACCTGGGTTCAGTCCCTCTCATCCCATTAGGTTCTCCGATCACCAGGAGTAATTCATGAGCGCAGTACCAGGTGTAACCCCTGATCATTGCTGGATGTGGCTCCAAAAAAGAAAATATATATTGCATTTGTCTCAATACTTTTAAAATAGGGTATATGGTGTTACAGATGTTAGATGACTTTGTGTCTGAAGAGCTTCTGGGATAGGTCCTAATGGGAATTGGGGGAAGGAAATGAAGACTTTTAACTTTGGCTTGTGATTATGTAGGCAGAATCCAAATTGAATAAAAGAGCTTTTACTTTTTTCTGAATGCACTTGTTCAGTAAAGACTACTAGCCATGCAAGATTAAAATACAGTTCCTGGTTCCAGGAGAAATAGTACACTGGATAGGAGGGTACTTGCTTTACATCTCAACACATGTGGTCCACTGAATACCTATAGAAGTGATCCAGGGTGTACTGCTTTCTCCTTTCCTCGGCTAGTAATCCATTTAAACAATCATAATAAATTTACTTCTTATATTTCCAGTCATTTTGTATGATATTGAGTGAGATACTAAGTGAGAAATATTAAGCTAAAGGTTGGCTCTTCCTGGGGATATCTCGCTATATATTCCAGACCATAGTCCTCATGCCAGGTTAATCTTTCCTAACCCCTGCAGGACCCTTATTCAGTTACTTCTTTTTGAGTCATGACAGAATCTGTTCCATGACTGTGCTCTTATTATGCTTATGGAGCTTAGCTTGTCTCTTTTTGATGCTAGGGTAGCTTACAGCTTGTCTTGCATCCAGTCCCTTCGTCAGTACTCTGCTTTTGGAGTGCTAGGAACTAAGGACAACTGAGGCTTAAGTCAATTAAATATGGATGTCCAGGAGTATTATTTTGTAGTTAACTCCCACGTTACAAAGTATAGCATGAACTGTCTTCCTGTGTCTATACAAAAAGGACATTGCTAAATAAACCATGCAAAAGACATATAAAGGAAAGAGAAAAGCAATATAAGATTATTAGTAGCACAGTGGGTAGGGCATTTGCCTTGCACAGCCAACCTGGGTTCGATTCTTTTGCCCCTCTTGGAGAGCCTGACAAGCTACTGAGAGTATCTCACCCGCATGGAAAGCCTGGCAAGCTACCTATGATGTGTTCAATATGCAAAGAACAGTAACAACACAAGCCTCACAATTTGTTGTAAGATGTTACTGGTGCCCGCTCGAGCAACTCGATGAACACTGGGAAAACAGTGCTACAGTGCTTGTTGGATTTGGGTGTACCTCAGGGGCACTGTTGTGGGAGTAGCTCAATAAATTGTAAGCTCCCTGCGGGAAGAGCAAGGACAACCCAATGTTGTTCACCACATCCCCCCTCTCATCTTTTAGAACATACTCGATAAACAATTATGAGTGAAATCAGTGGAAGGTTGAAACTCAAGTGAACCTAATAATTTCCTGTGAAATGAAAACAATTTTATGATCAACTAAAAAATAAACTAATAAAGGAGAGATTAGGATAAAGGGCACAGCTTTTTTGTGGAATTTTAAGTTGGCTAAGATGGGGGTGGCTCAACTTGAGTAAGAACACAATGTCAAGGGGTACAGTGTAGGAGTAGCAATACACGTTCAACACATTTTTAACAGTCTAAATTTGTTGAAAATCAGATGTGGTTAAGTAGACTTTTTTATATATGCCACAGAACAAAAATTACTTTGTTTTCACCTTTTTTTGGTGGGTATATCTAGAAATGAATCCCAGGGAGGGCCTCACACATTCAAGGCAAGTTCTCTACCACTGTGTCACATCATTGTCCCACAAGGACCATGTTTTCTGTAAGCCCCTAGTGATGTGGCTTAAGTAGCTGAGGCGCTATGTTCATTATATTCCACATGGTCCTCTTAGCACCACCAGGAGTAATTTTGAGTGCAGAGCCAGGAATAATCTGAGCATCGCCAGTTGTGACACAAAAGCTCCCCACCACCACCACCAAAAAAAAAAGGGTATCCCACCTCATGAAGGTAAGCATCCACCAGGAGTGATCCCTGAGCACAGAGCCAAGAATAAGTGCTAAGCACTGTCTGAAAAGTGATTTGGATCAATACTTGCTTAACATTAAAAGATAAGCCCAAGGGATTATCACACAGTGGAATGGTCCTTGCCTGCACATGGTGAACATGAGTTTGATTCCTGGCACCATAAACAATCCCCCGAGAACCATCAGGAATAATACCTGAGTGCAGAGCCAGGAATAAGCCCTGAGCAGTGCTAGATGTGTCCCCCAGACACCCCCCGCCCAAAAAAAAAAAATCACACTGTAGCACTGTCCTCCCATTGTTCATCGATTTGCTCGAGTGGGCACCAGTAACGTCTCTATTGTGAGACTTGTTACTGTTTTTGGCATATTGAATATGTCATGGGTAGCTTGAGTGGGCACCAGTAATGTCTCTATTGTGAGACTTGTTACTGTTTTTGGCATATTGAGTATGTCGTGGGTAGCTTGCCAGGCTGTGCTGTGTGGGCGTGATACTCTTAGTAGCTTGCCGGGCTCTCCGAGAGGGGCGGAGGAATCGAACTGGGGTCGGCCCGGCTCGGCTGTGTGCAAGGCAAATGCCCTACCGCTCTGCTATTGCTCTAGCCCCCCCAAAAATCATAAAGAAAATAAAAGATAATCCCACATTCAAAAACCCTAGGCTGAAATAAATACAACTGCAATAAAACAACTGTGTTATAGTTATACAGTTGTGTATAATAAAACAGTTGTGTATAATAAAAGTAACAAAATTACCCTCACAACAAAATTAATTAGGTTATAATAAAATTAAGGCCTTAACGTCAAGGTCTCATGGAACACATTCTTCTCTTCAATTTGACATTGTTGAAACATATTATTCCTTAAGTGGTTTATAAAATGAAATAAATGAATTTTATACAATTTTATGAACTCCATAAAATTAATTTATTTTTGTGGTATCATTTATTACTTCAACATATTAGAAGAGTTTACATAACAGGCTAGAGAACAGAAGTAAGAGGTAACAGGTGCTTGTGTACTACCCATATTATCCAGTAAGACAACAGTGTGTGCAATGGAGTGTAGATTCATAGTAGTAGTTCCTTGAATAAAAGAGTTTAGACAAAATCTTCCACAATCACAAGTTTTTGCAGCATCCAAATCTTGGCAAAGATGGAAAGGTATGATATGAGGGCCATATGGTATCCTATTAAAAGAAGTTTGGAAAATAAAAAAAAGTTTCACTAGATTCAGGATTTTAATAGGATATGAGTTATTTGACAGTGAATAACCACAGGAAAATAAAAACCCTTTTTTTGAGGGGGCAGCAACCCTGGATTGTGCTTAAGGTTCTTACCCTCAGGGATCACAACTGGTGGGCTCAGGGGACTACAGGAGTGCCAGGAATCAAACCAGATTGGCCACATACAAGGCAAAAGCACCTTACCCATTGTACTATCTCACTAACTCCTAGAATTCCTTTTTCTAAGGATGAAATGATTTGGTATATTATCTTTCAAATGATAAGACTGGAGAAAATAACACTGAAAATAATATACATTGTGTTTTAAAAAGGATCTATATTCCTCCATAAAGTTTCTTTTAGTAAAGCTACCATTACCTATTGAACAGAACGAGTCCTTTTTCTCATTCCATTTTCTCAAAAACAAACAAACAAACAAAAAAACCCACTATTTTATTTGGCCAGTATAACAACTTAAACGTAAAGCTGTCATCTAATTCTCCTAAGACTAACGGGAGAATTACTGAGTTCTTCCTGCAAGACATATTTCTTTAAAAAAATCCATAAAGACTCCTTAGAAATCAACTGTTCAGAATTAAGTTTTTAAAAATGTCAAATTCAGGGCTGAAGCAATAGTTACACACACACACACACACACACACACACACACACACACACACACACACACACCCCAAAGCTGTCAAATTTATTTGTATTTTCTTGACTGGGTAAGGAAGATTGATTTCATCTTGCCTATACCATTCAGAATTCCTGCTTTTATTATTTTGGTTTGTTTTTGGGAAAACCTGGAAGTGCGTAGGACTTTCTGGTTCTGTGTTCAAGAATCATTCCTAGTGGGGCTTGGGGAACCATATAGGGTGCTGAGGATGGAAAATGGATTGGCCCTGCCTGCTGTATTCTTTTTAACCCACTCAATGCAATCATAATCAAGTCTCTTTTCCCCATAAGATGTTAAGAATGTCTTGAGATTGCTTACCCAACTCCCTGAACACAAACATGTTCTCTGTCTCTGACATACTTTGTTTCTCCAGTCATAAATACACTCTCAAATTCTGAGAATCACTGTGTAAAAACAATAGTTACACCCTCATTTCTAGATCCTTAGTATTCAAAGTGGTATGCCATGGACTGCTAGTATACGCTCAGTTAGGCTCCCCTAGAAACTAGTTTGAAATGCAGATTTTTCACCCTGGACTTAAAACAATGTACTTAATAAGATTCTCAGCTGTTCTGAATGGATATTTAATTAACGTTTGAGAAACCCTAGTGTAGAGCTATAACAGAACTGTATAATATAATCACCTGAGCAATTTAAAAGAAGGATTGTGGAACAAGAGATACAATTCAGTACGTTAAAGCATATGCTTTGCATATATAAGGCCTGGGCTCAATTGACTTACACCTCATAGGGATTTGGGCCAGACCCAGCGACGCTCAGGGACTACTCCTGGTTCTGTGCTCAGGAATTCTGGCGGTGCATGGGGGACCACATGGGATGTCGGGGATAGAAGATTACTGGCCTCATACCTTGATACTTTAAAAATACTGAGTTAGGGATGGAGCGATAGCACAGCGGGTAGGGCGTTTGCCTTGCACACGGCCGACCTGGGTTCAATCCCCGGCATCCCATATGGTCCCCCAAGCACCGCCAGGAGTAATTCCTGAGTGCAGAGCCAGGAATAACCCCTGAGCATCGCTGGGTGTGACCCAAAAAGAAAAAAAAAACTGAGTTAGGCCATGCTTCAAAAGCTCTTCTCCTACTGGGGCCAGAATGACAGTACAGTGATAAGGAGCTTGCTTTGCATGCTGATGACCTGGGTTAGATCCCCACACCACATGTGTTGCATAGCGCGTAGGGAGTTTGCCTTGCAGTGGCTGACCTGGCCGACCCGGGTTCAATTCCTCTGCCCCTCCCAGAGAGCCCCACAAGCTACTGAGAGTATCTCGCCCGCACGGCAAAGCCTGGCAAGCTATCCGTGACGTATTTGATATGCCAAACACAGTAACGACAAGTCTCACAATGGAGACGTTACTGGGCCCACTCGAGCAAATCAATGAACAACGAGAGCACAGTGCTACAGTGCTCATAGGGATTCTTGACTGAGCCAGGAGTTGCCCCTAAGCAATGCCAAGGGTAGTCTAGAAACAAAAAAGAAAAAGCAAGATATGGTACTTGGGATACAGTTTAGCAGCAGAGCTCTTGCCTTGCATGCATAATTTCCAAGATTCAATCCCCAGTACAGCAGAACAAAACATAGTAATAAAAACTACTGGGAGCCAGAGCAATAGTACAGCAGGTAAGGCACTGGCCTGGCATGCTGAGCAAAATTCAATCCCCAGCACTCAATAAGGTTCCACCCAAATTCTGAGCACAGAGCCAAGAGTAAGCCCTTAGTACTGTTGGGTATAGCCCCCAAACCAACCACAAAAAAAACCTGCATACTGGTTCCTACTCCAATACCGATGATGATACCAGAATGTTACCTAAAATTTTAAGACATGTAAAGTCTTACCTATTATATAATATGGTCCGTGCAGAAGATTCCAATAAAGTTAATGGCATTTGCAGCTTTATAACTGGAAGGTCTTTTGGTTGTTCAAAAGTATTTTCAAAGAGATCCAAGTACTCAAGGGATAAATTCTTAAATTCACTAGGTAAAAAAGGAAGTTTATTTCGAGCTGCTGACAAAAAACGAAGGTTTTTCAGCTGTCCGATTTTGAAGGGAAATCTTATCAATTTATTATCATCAAGTTTTAAATCTGTCAGTTCTCGGAGCTGGCAAAACTGCAGAGGGAGTGCCTTAATTCTGTTCTTGCTGAGATCCAAACTCCGAAGTGATTGCTGGAGAGTAGATTCGCATAAGGCAACACTGAATGACTCCAAGTGATTGTCATTCAGGTTAAGTTCTTGAAGATAAATAAGATCTCCAATTCCAGCAGGAAGCTTTTTTATATGGTTATGACTCAAGTCTAATTTCTTAAGTTTTTTTAAACACAAAACACGCATATCAAATCGGACAAGACCACAATAAGAAGTCTGAAGATGTTCCAAAGAATATGGAAAATTCTTGCTTAGAGGATAGTCCTTTTTGGATGTGATAACCATTTTAGTTTTAAATTTCTCAAATTCTGAAGTCTTCACTGGTGTTTGTGTTGAAAGTGGTGCATCAAAATCACAACCTTTATGAGCCAGTCTCAGAGCTGAAAGAAAACCTTTTAAACTGCTGGAGTTGGCCTGGATAAAGAAATAAGTTGTAAAATTGTTTTAGAAAAAGCAAGAATGACAATTCATACAAGTCTATAAAATACAAATGATACAATCATTTATTGAAAATGGCTGCAAATATAAACCATTCAGAATTTTATTTTGATTAAACCAACACAAGAGGGGTCAGGAAAGACAGTACTGTGGTAAAGGCCTCGCACATAGCCTATCCTGATTTGATTCCCAGCACCAATCCTCCAAGCCCTGCCAGGAGCGATCCCTGAGTACATTTGGCTATGGCCCAAAAAACAAAAAAATTAAGTAGCTTTCATTACAGACATAAAAATCTATGAGCCAAGGAAGCAGCACAAAAGGCTGGAACTACTAAGTGTGACTCAAATCTATTTATAAGTAAATACATAAAACTGCTTGAAGGAGAGATGCCTCCAGACCCTATGTCTGACTGAACTTCATATTGGGGCACCCCAGAGTAGGTGAGTGAATCCCACCACCTGCCCTAACAAAGACCTGGCAGCTGAAAACCTCCAGAACCCAATCGCTGCCATGCTCATGGCCAATCTCCAAAGGCTTGGACAAGCCTCATCCATGAGTAAATCTGTTGAAAAACTCAGGTATGCGGATTTTGTGACTGAAATCTCCAGGGTCTCAGAGCCAGGGATGGGCAACCTCGCACCCTTTTTACACACACACACACACACACACACACACACACACACACACACACGCCCCCCCACCCCCCCAGGCTCTCACAGTCAGGGATGGGCAACCTTGCCCCCCTTACTCACACACACACAGACACACACACACACACACACACAGACACACACACACACACACACAGACACACACACACCACACTGTTCTTCTGGAAGACTAGCAGTCATATCCATGAACTGCCTCTGGTGCCATATAAACTCATTAACCAGCCATAATCCAGAGACTCACAAATAAATCTCAGAAGAGATCAACAAGCTGCAGAGATGCCTCACACCCCAAAGTAACCATCCAGCTAAAATTTTATTCCAGCTGTATCACCTTACTTAAAATTTCAGAATTCCTGGAGCAAGTGGCTGCAACCTCTCATACTCTAATCCACTGATGTACCAGGAATAGCACCCACTGGATGTAGGTAGAAGGAAACCAATCTCAATTAAAAAAAATTAGCACACAGGTTTCAACCTGTAACAACATGTTAGTAATCTCTTGTATAAGAGCTCAATGGCTTCAGGGTGAGATACAACAATTTTCACACACTTTCTTCTAAGGAAACCCTTTTTAAAAAAATCATTTCCAGAGAATTATTTACAACAAGCAATACAAAATAAATTATTTAGGGCCTGCTATTGGGGCAGGCTTGTGTGGTGGTTGGGAAAATTGGAAATAATGGCGGTGGGTAAGGTGTTGGAATATTGAATGTAATTATTGTGAACAACCTTATAAAAATTAAAAAAAAACTGCTTGAAGAATACTTTAGAAGTTTCCCAAAATTTAGATATAAAGAACTAATGAATGTTCAGTAAATCTGGGAAGCTAAGTGTGTGACACTATTTGGATGGAATATGGAAGTTTTGAAAAAGACTAAATCATTAGAGTATACATTGGATGAGCTTTATTTTAGAAAAGGTGCCTGAATGATAGTACAGTTGGTAGGATACTTGCCTTGCACACAGCCAGCCATGTTCAATCCTGGTATCTCTTATGATGCTCCAAGCCCCACCAGGCGTGATTTCTGAGCTCAGAATCAGAAGTCAGCCATAATACCACTGGATGTGACTCCCTCCCCCCAAATTAAAATAATGAGAAAGAAATGGAGGGAGGAAAACACTGTGAGAAATCACTGAAAGATGCTGAACATGTGAATTACATGTCAGGAGCAGATAATTTTGGTAGCAGTATATACAAGTGGAGTAAAGTCTGGAGGTTCTGGGAACTGGCTTATAGACTTGGGAGTGCAGTGAAGAATGAGCTATGGATATGGAAGGCAGAATATGAAAACAGGTAAAAGCTTAGTTGGAATAATACATTGGTATAGAATAAAGGATGCCAGGGAGAAGGGTGAATGTTCAGGATGGAAATTTGTGCTAAGAACACTAGCCATTATGTGTAAGTTCCTAGGTTCAACGTCCAGCACCACAAAACAAATTTTAAAATATTAAATGGGGTGGAGGGGGGGTGTCTGTGTGTGTATATGCACGCACACCATAGATGTGCAAAGTCAGAGAGATTGCTCCATAGGCTCAAAAGGCTGACTGCACACTTTGTCCTGAGACTGAATTTGATCCCTGGCAGCAGATGGTCCCCTGAGCACCACCAGGAGTCACTCTCAGTACCATCAGGTTTGGTTCATTCCCACATCTCCAAAAGGATGAGAAACAACAGCAATATGATTAACAAACAAGATTATTGACTTCCGAGGTAATACACTGAATAAACAATGAAAATATAGGTCAAAGATGCCAAGAAAGTAGAAGCATAAATTTAGTCTTGTCATTCCCAAAACTCACGTGTTGTTATTTATTTGGGCACCACACATGGCTGTGCTAAGAGAATACTCCTAGCTCTGTGCCCAGGTATCACTCCTAAGTGGTGCTTGGTGGACCATTTATGGTACTAATGATAGAACCTTGTTCAGCTGTGTAGAAAGCAAGTGCCTTACCAACAGTTCTGTATTTTCAGCCCTGCATTTTATTTTTTTAAAATATGAAAAAAAAATCCCACAACACTTAATTTTGTTTGCTCTGTGATTTGGGGTACCCTTGGCAGTGCTCAGGAGAACGCATGTGCTAGGGACTGAATTCGGGCTTCCCACATGCAAAGCATGAGCTCCAGTCCTCTGGGTTATTTCTTTGCTCTGATAAACATTAATTCATGCAACAACGTACCTTACTTAGACAGATGTCCACAGAAGGTTCTTTTAACCGGACAGTAGCTTTCCCTTCATCCACAAATTTAGTAAAGAATTGCTCAATGTTCTCCTTTAGCTGTTTAAACCATGGGGTTGAGAAAAAGGACAAAACCAGAAATATTTATTACAACTAGGATGTGCCAATCACTTTGCCAGTCTGTGGTTTGGTTTTTAGTCCTTACACTTATTGTTTTGTGCTCCCCCGCCCTGTCATGTAATGTTCCAACACCCATCCCTTCACTACTGTACATTTCCTACCACCAAAGTCCCCAGTTTCTCCAGCGCACTGACCCCCAACCTCCGCTCCCCATTACTGCCTTTATAGCAGGCACTTTTGTTTTGTGGGTTTAATCCCATCAATGGCCAAGACCCAGAGACTATAAAACCCAGCTCCCAGAAGAGAACCGCGCAGAGTCTCCTGCCCCCACGCCTGGCTGTCCTCGGCAGGGCCCCTTGGAGAGGGCGGGTTGAGTTTCCCTCCCAGCCCCAAGCAGAGCTCCGGCAGCTGAAGACTTCCAGAACCAGCCTCAACCATGCTGAGACCACTCTCCACACGCATGAAGGTACCGGCAGAGGAACAAAGGCATGCGGGTACCGGGTCTGAGATCTCCAAGCCTGCTTGGATCGGGGCTGAGCATCCTCCACCCATATCCTCCATCTTCCAGTAGGCAGGGGTCACACCCAACAACTGGCCCCCTGTAATCCCATCAACGGCCAAGACTCAGAGACTATAAAACCCAGCTCCCAGATGCGCGCGGCAGCAAATGTGACATCTATGATCTCACTCTTACTTTGGACAAACTGGCAGGCTACCGAATGTAACCTGCCCACACGGCAGTCTGGCAAACTCCCTGTGGTGTACCCAATATGCCAAATACCAGTAACAATGATGGGTCTCATTCTCCTAAACCTGAAAGAGCCTTGAATATGGCACTTTTTAAAATCTCAGGGCTAGGATGAAGGAGACATTACTGGTGCCTGCTCAGGGCAATTGACGAACAACAGGATGATCGTGATCGTGATCGAAATGGTTACACTCCTTATCTAGTTTGTGGTATATGTTATTATATCTGGTAACATTCTTCTACTGAGAACAGAATATCCCCTTTCTCCTCCTCCCTTCTGGGAAAAATGGAAGTGTGTGTCCCCTGACTACCCACACAACTATATGGCTATCATAAAAACTGTCAATAGCAGTGGCTTACCTTCTTAACTTCACTCTTACATCTCCCACAAAATCACAAACTCCATGAAAGGAATCGCACCTCCTTTTGTTCACTATTGCAAACAAAGTTTCCCAGGGTGTTAAAAGTGATTCACACATAATAGGTGCTCAAAAATTTTTAACAAGTGGGGGTCAGAGCAATAGTACAGCGGGTAGGGCATTTGCCCTGCACGCAGCTGACAAAGATTCGATTCCCAGCATCCCATATGGTCCCCTGAGCACTGCCAGGAATAATTCCTGAGTGCAAGGCCAGGAGTAACCCCTGTGCATCACCGGGTATGACCCCCTCCCCCCCAAAAACGAAACAACTGATGGTGCTTCAGTTTCAGAATTCAACAATTATTTGAGAAACCACTATTCCAGGTAGCATGATAGAGAACTTGGAACAATAGTGACAAATATCAATTGGAAATTATACTTCTAAAGTTGTCAGTTTTATGAAAAGATAATTATTGAACATATAATTAAAATGATAGGTGGGATGTTTCCCTCGCAGGCAGCCAACCCAGGTTCCCTTCCTGGCATTCCATATGATCCCCAAGCCCTCTAGGCATGATCCCCGAAAAAAGAGCCAGGAGTAAGCCTGGGGCACCACCAGGTGTGGCCCCCCCCCCAAAAAAAATGAAACCAAACCAAAACAAAACAAAAGCATAACAGAGGTCTGGAGAGACAGTACAGCAAGTAGGAAGCCTGCATTGCATGTGACTGGCCCGGCATTTCATATGGTCAGTCTCTCAGCAGCCCACCAAGAGTGAACCCTGAGTGTAGATCAGGGAGTATGCCCTGAGCACTGCAAGGTATTTAAGAAAAGATTAAGACAAGTGAAGATTATGAAGGTGACCTTAAATGGTGAGAGAGCTCAGAGTCAGAGGTATAACCACAATCCTGGGTACTATGCACTACATATTTCCAAAGCACTGACTAAGGAGGTGATGGAATTCCAAGAGGGAATAATTTGCGCAAAGCCTTGAAGGCAAGACAGAGCTTGGTAGCTCTGAAGAGCTGTAAGGCAGTAAAAGGAGAAGGTGAATCAGAAGTAACATGACAGGCAAGCAATCAGTAAACCAAGTTAAGAATACAGGATTTTAGGGGCCAGAGATAGCGACTTGCACCGCATGAGGCCAACTCACGTTCAATTTCCAGCACCCCAGATGATTCCCTGAGCCTGCCAGGAGTGATCCCTGCATAGTCAAGTGTACGTTCCAAAACCAAAAAACAAAACAAAACAATCAAGATTTTATCCTAAGAACAATAAAATCCATGAAATGACTTCAAGATAGAAACAAGATAATATCTACATTTTGAAAAATATTTTTTGGGGCCAAAGATAATAGAGGGGACAAAGTGCTTGCTGTGCACATACCAACCTGGATTTGATTCTCCAGCACCACATATGGTCCCTGAGCCCCTGAGCACAGTGCTCTGGGCACTGCTAGGTGTGGCCCCAAATGAAAAACATGTGAAAAAATGAAAAGTTCCCTTTAACTCAGTGTAAAGAACTTTGGTGAGAGGAAAATTGAGATGAGACAAAGACAAATGTAGAGGTAGGGAGATCCCTTAAAAGAACAGACAGGAAAAGAATAGTGGTGGCAGGGACAGAAGGAGGGGATGGCAACCTGAAAGATTCCCAGGAGTAGAATGGAAAGGATTCAACAGTATACTGGATTTGAGGAGACAAAGATTTAGTTTTTCTGATAGAGTAAAATACTATGTAATGGCTTATAAAATACTACCAGAAATAGCAGGTTGTTAGGGTTGCTAAGGGTTGTTCACTGTATCACTGTCATCCCGATGTTCATCCATTTACTTGAGCAGGCGCCAGTAACGTATCCATTCATCCCAGCCCTGAGATTTTAGCAGCCTCTCTTTACTCATCTTTCCCAACGCTGCAGTATTGGAGGCTCTTTCATGGCAGGGAAATGAGACCTGTTATTGTTACTGTTTTCGGCATATTGAATACGCCACAGGTAGCTTGTCAGGCTCTGCTGTGCTGATGGGAGGAAAGCAAATTTTAAGTTACTTGAATTTGAAACACTGAGTCCATGAATGAGGGAAGTTAATACAGATTTTAACCTAATTATATTCAATTTTAGCTAGCTCTGGGTAAAACCTCCTTGTCTTAAAGAGTATGCATCGTAAGGGGAAGAATCTGAAAAGTCATTTAAAAAAATTCAACCTTGATGCAAGTGTGGGTGATGAAATACTCCAATTTAATATAAGCGAATCCTGTCAGAATGCCTGGTATGAAAGGGATGTTAGGGATAGAACCTGGGGGTATTGGTAGAGGGATGGGGTCACAAGATTGAAAGTGAGAACATTGTATACCTGAAATCCTATTGCAAACAACTTTGTAAATCTTGATATCGAAGAAAAACTTAAAAAAAAATTAATGGTTCAAATCTATTTCTATATTTATTTATTTGCTTTTTTGGGTCACTCCCAGCAATGCTCAGGGGTTACTCCTGACTCTGCACTCAGGAATTACTCCTGGTAGTGCTTGGGGGACCATATGGGATGTTGGGAATCGAGTCTGGGTCGGCCACGTGCAAGGCAAACGCCCTACCCGCTGTTCTATCGCTCCAGTCCCCAATCTATAGTTATTTTTTACATTATGAAAGTGACTACTTTTCTGTTTTTTTCTCCTCTAATTTGCATTAGGATGCAACAGATTTTTGTATATAGATAGGTTTTGTAGGCTACAACTGAGTATAAAAATATATTGTTTCAAATAGATGGTTTTTGGTGAAGTCTTTAAGAATTTTACATATATCATATATATCATCTGCAAATACTAATCGTTCACTCCCTTTCCAATTTTCTCCTCTATTGTCTTTGCTTTTTATTATTAGCCACAATTAATGTGGCTCAGACTTCTTTTACCATGTTGCTTAATACTAGTGAGAGTGCACACCTTATACCCAACCTGACAGGAAAACATTCATCTTTGTCATTAGAATGTTAGACATTTGGTTTTGTGTATTTTCATCTGATCATTATGGGTTTGTGTATATTGTCTTTATCTGCTGAAGTATATTCCTTCTATTCCAAGTTTTCAGAGTTTTTGTTAGATATAGATGCTGAATATTGTCAAATTCTTTCAATGGATCTATTGCTGTTTGTATATGTATGTCCGCTTTCCTTTTATTTATGATGGAATACATTAATTACTCTCTATATGTTGGACCATACATGCATCTCTAGAAAAACAAACAAACAAACCCCAAAATACTTTTGCCTTCAAAGTTCTATGTTGGTGTTGGGGCTGGAGAGAGCTCCAAGGGCTCTCTCCATTTGCATGTCCTCCACTCAAAGACCTGAGTTCCAGCCCCCGCACTGCTGGGTGCAGCCCTGGTGGTCTTTACAAACCGCGATATAATGCAGCGTGGTGCACATACTCCAAAGGTACACACACACACACACACACACACACACACACCTGTAAGTTAATTTCAATGGCTCCTAGAGTTTCCCGCTGTTACACAGATCGCAAAGAGCCCAGGACCCAAACAAAACAACCAAAAAAAAAAAAAAAAGCCCGAGATTCAGACGTTTTAAAAAAAGACAAAGGATACTAAGCAATCGAAATTTTAAAATATCACCATGCAACTCACAGCATTTACTGTTTTATCTCTGTATTCATTCCTCATACTCCAAAAGTCTTAGCGTCTTTAAAAAAAAATCTAGGAAGATAGTTTACTCCTCAAAAGTGCGTGTGTGCGTGCGTGCGGTGTGTAGGCAGGTCGAAGATCGGTAACTTTCAAATGGAGAGCTATGAACAGTCGTGTGTGTGTGTGTGTACGTGTGTGTGATCAGTAACTTTCAGAGGGAGAGGGTAGAAAGCTATGAACAGTCGGGGTGTGTGTGCGTGAACGTCACTCCCAGTCGCTGTGTGTATGTGTGTGTGTGTGTGTAGGCAGGTCGAACGATCAGTAACTTTCAAAGGGAGAGCTATGAACAGTCGGGGGTGTGTGTGATCAGTAACTTTCAAACATAAAGGAATAAGGTACGATATCTATGAACAGTCTGGGTGTGCTGTTTTGTGTTGTGTGTGTGTGTGGGGGGGGGGCGCGGAACTAGACTAGCAAAAGTGCGCTTCAGAAGCCGTCCAGGAGCTCCGAGCTGGCCACTCAGAATGCCCCAGCAGCCCGCCTCCGAGGCGCCCCGAGCATCACCCGCCTCCCCCGCTCACCCCTTACCTCATAGCGGGTCCCGCGCTTGTCCTTCATGGTGGCGATGCACAGGCAGGCGGGGTGAGGGTCGCCGCGCTCCGCACCGGCGCGGGACAGCGGTTGACACAGAGTCAACACCGCCCGGATGCCCTTACCCCGGCTCCGTAACCCCAAAGTGGGCAAATGCCGACTGACCACCTCGACCTCGCAGTGCAGCTTCATGCTGGAACTCGGGCCACCAGGGACACCAGCTCGGGAGTGTGAAAGCGCCTCGTCCCCACCTCTTTTGGCAGCCGGCTCCCACTAAGGCGGTGAAAATTCAATCTTCCGGCCGGCCGCGCCGCCGCCGGGGTCCTGGAGCTCGAGCTGTCCACGGATGTGCCTGCCCTATCGGCGCAAAGCATCTCGATTTCCCCGACACTTGGCTCTCCGCGTCTTCCGGAGACCAATAACGTCCCCTCTCCCCGGCGGAGCCGAGTCTTGGCCCTGCGTGCGGGCCTGCGGAGACGCCGCTCGAGGTCCCGGCTTGCACCTTCCGAAACAGGCGAACGACCGGGCGCAACGTCCCTTTCCGGGAGCGCGCGGAACGGGAGTGGGAGTTGGGGCGGAGTCGAAAAGAAAGCTCCCGTGTCACGGCCCTACCTTTTCTCCTCACTCCTGGGTGCTAGTCATGCCTTAAACGTTGCACCCGGGAGCACCTTACCCCACATTGGCCCAGGCCTTGCATTTACCACTCTGTTTTGCCTGGGTTGGGCTTTCGTGCTTGTGAAATGGTGCCCAGAAATAACGATCTTCAGTTCAACGGTGACAGAGTGAAGTTTTCCCTTAAATAAGCATCCCTGTTAAAGCTACTGAATCTGAAAGTGTTATCCATTGATTTCCTACCCTGGGTCTATGTCATTGACTGTTATAATAAAGGTAATGAAAATTACTCCCCCCCCCATTTGGTATTTTGCATGTAGAGCATGACAACACTACTCTGCATCTAACAAAGGGTAGTTAATCAATGGCTAGAAAGAAGCAAAATAAAATTGGCAGTTTAGAATTTGCAACAACTATGTTGCCTGTGTTTTGTTGAATAGGTAATGTAGAAGAGTAAGTTGTAATAAGAACACTAGCCTAAATCAACATAAAACTAGAAGTATTTTAAACTACTAGGGATAGATAGTTGGGAGCTGGAAAAATTCTTAAATGTGAAAATCTTTGGACTGTTGGTAAGAACATAGAAAAACCAAGAATACACGAGGAGGGACTCAAACCTTTATTTGGTATTTATAGCATGGGTTGTGATTTATCACAGATTCAGAAATTAAGTGTTAAATGGATGAAAGTTACAAGTTACAAACAACCTGATTTCAGAGTGGTACAATGATATATGCTGCAAAAAATACCTCCCAAACTACCAGTCTCCAAAAATTAATAACTAAATGAAAATAAATACATGATTCACAAATTATTCAAGTCAGATATTTTATTGACTATTAAGATAACATTGAGCTGAAAGTAAAATGAAAGTAACACTTTGATATCCTCCCATCCTAACCTTTCTCTAGTGCATCCACTTTCAATGACTGACATACTTGGATTTGATATTCATTTTGGTCATAGTTGACTATCTAAAAACCAAAGGAGTTGAATACTTAGTTGTACTCTTTACACAAATAAAACCTCTGACGTCACAACCTTCAGTGGTCTCAAGTAAACCTGCATGCAAACTGATTATGGAAATAAACAAGACACTTTTTTAAAAAACAAATTTTATTTACTTCATTTTTCTTCTATAAAAACTGTGCTGGCTACAAATGGAGCTCAAGCCTCCTACACGGAGACTCTCACAGAGTGGCTAGTGAATTCCTAGGGCACTTGGCCAACTCTTTCAGAGGTCCTCCACAAGATGACATCAAAGGTGGCCTTGTTTAAGTTTTCCAGGGCGACAGTGCAGCTGTGTTGTACCAACCATCAGCAATAGACTCTTGGACAAAGGGTCCAAGACTATGCCAATGCCTCTGGGTACAGGGATGAGGCTCCACAAGCACAGAACCACAGTGACTGGCCAGCCTGCAAAGGATTGTGTGTATCTGAGCAATCTTGATCTTGCAGTAGCGTTGCTGCAGAGGAAAGCTGAATAGTTTACCAGAAGATGGCCCCAGGACCTCAGCTGCTGCTATGGCAAAATCTTAATATGGTCTGGAACCTGTCAGGACTGCCCTGAGCAACCCCGGGTCTGGCCCCGAAGCCAAGAGTGGTGGGGGAAGGCATATAGAACACCTTTACTTTTCTGGAATGGTGTGTTTATTTCAAATATTGTGTCAAGTTAAAAAAAAAATTGAAAACAGTACTTTTTAAAAAAACATAGAGCCCCCTACTGTTGGCTCCTAACGATTACAATCTATTTTAAGTTATTTTATAAATGTACCCAGTAGGTGTCAGTGCTGAGTCCGGTAGAAAAAATTCTTTTTTTCCAAAGTAAATGTAAAGTAAAAGAACGAAAGTTGGTTAGTGGGGGTGGTGGGAGGGATGTGGGAGGGATGCTGGGACCATTGGTGGTGGGAAATGGGCACTGGTGGAGGGTACTTGATCATTGTATGACTGAAATGCAAGCCCGAAAGTTTGCAAGTCCATAACTGTACCTCACGGTGATTATAAATAAATTCTTTTAAATTTATAAATAAATTATTAAAAGTAAAAAAAAAAAAAAACTAGATAGAAATTATCTCCGATTCCACTCTGGGGCTCAAAAGAGACAGGGTCTCGCTATATTGCCCAGGCTGGAGTGCAGTGGCTATTCACAGGCGCGATCCCACTACTGATCAGCACGGGAGTTTTGACCTGCTCCGTTTCCGACCTGGGCCGGTTCACCCCTCCTTAGGCAACCTGGTGGTCCTCCGCTCCCGGAGGGTCACCATATTGATGCCGAACTTAGTGCGGACACCCGATCGGCATAGCGCACTACAGCCCAGAACTCCTGGACTCAAGCGATCCTCCGGCCTCAGCCTCCCGAGTAGCTGGGACTACAGGCGCGCGCCACCACGCCCGGCGAGGGAACTGCCGCGCATTAGTGCTCTAAAGGCAGTGTTGCGGTGACGTCACCGCGGCTCCGCCCCGCCTCCCTCCCTCCCTCCCTGGACTCTAGATCAATTTTCCGCGCGGCAGCACTCACTGGGTCGCCGCACTGCACATGCGTGATCTGTCATCGCTGCATTCTGGGTAAAATCCCGGGCCCAGAATTCTCAAGAGCGCACGCGTGGGCCCACTCCTTCCTTTTGCGTCGTTGCCTCTGAGCGAGCAAGATGGGTCACCAGCAGCTCTACTGGAGCCATCCGAGAAAATTCGGCCAGGGGTCGCGCTCTTGGTGAGTAAGAGTTGAGCGGGGTGCCCCGGGCCGCTGCTGGGAGGGATTCTTGTGAAGGAAGCCCAGTGAGCGCGGCGTGTGGCGGTGTGTGTGGGGGCCAACTAGGAGCCTGAGGGCCGCCGCCGCCATCACGGCGGGCGGTCGAGCGAGCGGGCAGGCGGGCGGGCGAGCGGGCAGGCGGGCGGGCGAGCGGGCAGGCGGGCGGGCGGGCTCCGCGCCGGGAACTGACGCCGCCTTTGCTCTCGCAGCCGCGTCTGCTCCAACCGGCACGGCCTGATCCGGAAATACGGCCTCAACATGTGCCGCCAGTGTTTCCGCCAGTACGCGAAGGACATCGGCTTCATCAAGGTACGGCCCGCGGGCGCGTGTCCCTATCTGGGGGCGCCGCGGGGAGGTTGCGGACCAGGGGAGTGGGGAGGGGGCCGAGGGAGAGAGACCTTCGAGGAGGTGCTTCCGGCCGCGCCTTTCCTCTGACTGGTTTAGCTGAAACGTGGTTTTTTTTTTTTCTAAATTTACCCGCCACCTATAAAGTACCTTTTTTTTTTTTTTTTGGTCTTCCGATATCTCCTGTAGTCTTGGGAGATTTTTAAACCCGAGTAAATGTGTTTCACCATTTCCCAGCCCGAAATGTTTTGATAGCGTTGTATAGGTGGAATGTGAGCTTGAGGTTTGGGGCAGATACTGGGTTTTCTACCCTTTATTTAGTGGAAGTGAGGGCAGGAGTGATAGAACAGCGGGTCGGGCTCTGGTCTTGCACGGCCGCTGACTCCAGGACCCACCCCCTAGCCCACCAGGAGTGAGGCCCGAGCGCAGAGTAGGACAGGGCACCTCAAAAAAGGTGGGCGTGAGTTCCTTGTATTGAATGTCTGAACTCTTTACTTCCTGGTTCATAATTTATTGCGGATATTCAGTGGAACCAACTTGAAGATAGGTACCGCCAACGCCGTCCTTTGGGGATGCAGTCGGATCCGGCTTGGGATTTCTTGCTGGGTGTTGGGAGGAGGAAGTCCCCTCCCCCCAATCTCAGGGACTGGTAGAGGATAGTGGATAACAGAACGCTTGCCATATGATTAGTTTGCCTACTTACTGAGCCTAATGGGCAGTTACTGCATGGGAAGGGAACGTTGCCATATTCGTTCTACAATTGGGTGGTTGCACAGCAAGTTGTGTACTAGGCTGTAGTGTTGATAGTTGGGGTGGAAGAAATCTCCAGTTTTAGCCTCAGTTCCTCCAAGAGTCAATTATGTGAAAAATAGAAGGAATATTAAAGCATCTTAAATTAATTTCTGTTTTCACTTGCTTTCCCCTCCTAGTTGGACTAAATGAACTTCCGGAGTTGGTCATCAGAAACATCTACCCGGCAGCAGGAACAGATGTTCTTTGTACATAAAATAAAGTGACTTCAGTTATCAGTGTGTTCGTATTACGTATGGTGTGATGGATGGTTTTATCTTTCGTTAGCTGTTAACGGAAGCTGTATAGAAAATCTTAGCATATAGTTTCAGACAGACTCCTGATCAAAAAACATCAGTGGTGGCAGCAAGAATAAAACTTGCAAATTTGGATTTGGCACATGAGCGGGAGGGGTGTGTGTGTATGTGTGTGTTTGGATTTGGCACAGGAGAGGGAGGGGTGTGTGTGAAGGGTGGATCCTTTAAAACCTGCTCTAGAAGTTAATCCACCCTGGCTAATGGGCTACTTAATAGAGATGGAAATTTCTCCTTTGTATGTAAAGGGAATTATGGCTGCATTGAAGGACTCTTGGCATCAAATTTCTGAGAACAGAAGTAGCATTTTGAGAGTGGAGTGAAGATGAGTTTTTATATTGAATAAGATGGGTTTGAAAGCAGTGATAAAGATTGTAAAAACATGTCTTCATTATCAGGCAACAGCAGTGTGGGAAGAATTCCTGAAACCTTTAGCATTCAGAATGGTCAGTAAAACAATTGAAAACCTGAAAGCTAGGTTGGTTGTTACCAGTGCTGATAAAAGTAAATGATTTGAGATGAGTTTACATTTGGGAATGAGTGGTAAGAATAGGAAAAGTTTTCCATCTAGGCTACCGATCATTGCTTGAAAGTGAGAAGTAGCTCTAAAGGTTTTTTGACCGGAGCATACTGAAAGGCAAGAAGGAATGCTAGGCTAATACAAAACCGGTTTTGGGAAAATATGAATCGGCAATAATTTATCAAGCTGCTTTTGCCTTTACCTCATTTATCTCCACATTTATTGGTTTTTTGTCTTTAAATTCTGCATTTGCAGATTTGTCATACTTTTTTTCTCCATCTTTCCTCAAAACTAATGTTCATTCTACTAGCTTTACTTATTGCAACTCTACTGTTGCTTATTTATTTTTGAGGGCTTGACACACATTTGACGCTTCTCAGGATTTTTTCTCCTAAGAAGAAAAATGCTTCTATGGCCACACCTAGCAGACCATATGGATTTCTGGGACTGAATCTGAGTCAGCTGCATGCAAGGCAAAAAGCCTTATCCACTACTGCCTCTGGCCCCGTTGATAATTTGTAAATTTATTGAATTGCTGTGAATTACCAGCTTATTTGTAATTGGGTTGCAGGTGTATATTCACTGGTAATTCTATGTTTTTCTCAAATTTGTGAAAAATTTTGTTGGAACTTAAAATCTTTAAATTGTTTTTGCAGCACTATTCGCAATTGGAGAAGTCTGGAAACTAGTATATTTTTAGCTTACTTTTTTTTTAACACTTGCCTTCATTTCTTCTCATTTTTAATGTTTTGTTGTGCATCGTGTAGGTTGGATAGCAGAATTAGAATATTAACAGCAAAAGTTTCAGTTCAAGGCACATGAGTTCTGTGATGCTCACTAACTAAAGAGGAAAATTCCGGTTGCCTGATTAAGTCCCCAAACGGCACTATGAGCACCATCAAGACACTTACGTCTGGGAAATTACATGGATGGATGTAACATTGTAATCATTAACAATTTTGTAATATACTATCATGGTGATTCAATTAAAAAAAACATCTGAGAGTCATGTCTAAATCTATTTAGAAATTATATTAGAGAAATCTGAGAAATTGAATGGTACAGCAAGGCACTAGGATCTTTCTGTATATAATGAAGTGTGGTAGTGAAGAAAATAAAGTCAGGAACTTTTTTCTCAAGGATATAGCAGCTATAATAAAATTTATTACTAGTACTAAAATGTGCAACAGGTGTCACTAATACAAAATATTGAAGTTTATTACAGACCTGTAAGTTTGTATTCATTTTACAGGTGAAGGAATAATGACAGATTGTTTTGGTAACTGGTTCATGAATGCTCATTGAGTTGCAAGACTCATTTGAATACAATTCTGATGATTCCATATTGATGTGTCTTTAGCATCCTGGGGCCTATAATGGGTGGAAGATGGTAACTTGAATGTTGATGGTGAGAAAATCCCATTTAGCCACAAAACTCATGCTGATCTTGAGAGCAGCAATATAACTATTCAGAGTTTGATGGGAATTGAGAGCTTCTGGAGTAACCTCAGAATTAAGAGCAACAGTATTGGAAGCAGTAGGAGTATTGGAGGAACTAAAGAAGCAAGTTGAACTGTTGTGTGATCTCCGATCAACAGGTCCCATTGGGCTCAGTGGTAGAGTGCTTGCCTTCTAGGCATGAGGCCATGAGTTCAAAGAGTGCATTCTCATTAGTACTGTTTGTGATTCTGGCACTATAAAAAAGTGTAGATCTTCACTGTATCACAATCATGACAACTAAAATTCTGTGTGAGTACCAGAACGGAGTGTGTTTGACTTCTGGTTATGGGACAGTAATGACAGGGAAGACAGAAATTTTTTAGTCTCATTTGGGTCATACCAGCATAGCAATTCTAACCCATGGCTTCCTTTTCAGAATTCAGCTATTTCTGTTCTATCAGCCTGCTGATAGCTCTGTAGAGTGCTCGCTAGACAGTTAACTCTATAAGTACCTCAAGCCAGCAAAGAAGTCTCATCTCTAAATGTCTACATACTAGGTTTATCTTCATAGGAAAGCTGAGAGGACACCTATGTCAAACAGCTAAAATACTTGCTCCTGAATAGTAACTACAGGCTTACAGGGCAAAAGATTTTATATACACGCAAAAAAAGGAGTTTAAAAAAATGTCAGCTTGGGAAAGAAAGATGGCATCCGCTTCGGAGCTTTATGGAAAGCCAGGTATGAGCTGGTCGTGATGGGGCGACTGAAACCTCATGGGAACGGGGGTCGTTCCTGGCTCGTCCTTCACGCCCTACCGAGGTCACAAATTGCCCCCCACGAGCAGCTCTCCAGCACGGCCATGGCTCCAGAACACAGAAACCAATCTCATAATTATCTGACTCTCAGCAGAAATACTTCCAGGCTTAATAAGTAAAATACCAGAAATCCAAAATCGCACGGCCGCAATAGTGGCTGTATGATATCAATTGATTCTTGTGACAAGTTGTAGAAAACAAATTATTTCACAATGCCATTTCAGCATGTCTGATTTGGGGGGTGTAAACTCTAGGTATAATGGTGCATCTTTTGTCAAAACAATGAATCTAATCAAAGTAGATAGAGTGTTAGCTCGAATTCATCTGCCTCACAGGCATTGGGAGGTTTGGGAGGGGGTGGTTTATTGGGGTTCTTTGTGGTGAAAGATAAGTATTGGTAAAGGGAAATGTGTTTGATATTTGCATTACCGAGACTTAAACATGAAAGTTTTGTAACTTTTCCCACAGTGATTCAATAAATAAGTTAAAAAAAAAGTCAGCTTAAGTAGGGTATATGATAGGAAAAGGGCTCTAGAACAGGTCTTTGACTATATCAGACTTCAACCCCCACCCCCCCACTCCCAATTTATACTGGGCACTCCAAGGTTAGGAGACATTGAGAAATACACATGTGTATTGCGGAGACTAGAAAGCTAAATACATCGAAGTTCCACAGTCACAACATCCTAAAGCTTAAAATTTTTTGTTGGTTAAGAATTAACATTTTAAAAATATTGAGGATATGCCAATAGTGTAAGGTTAGTCCGGTGGATGTGGCAGGAAAAATAAGGGAAACATCTTTATTCAGAACACTAAAAATAACGGCACAGTAGGTTATATTGAGCATTATTGTTGAACATGACCAAGTAATTATATATCCCAAGTATACTTACCATACAAGTATAGTAATAACAAAATAAGCATTAAAGTTGATTCTCTGTTCAGTTAAAACAAAACTCCCAGAAGCTCGCAGCTGCATTTGCGGCCGTGCGACATATTATCTCATTCTTGCTTTGGACAACCTGGCAGGCTACCAAATGTAACCTGCCCACACGGCAGAGTCTGGCAAACTCCCCGTGGCGTACCTAATATGCCAAATACCAGTAACAATGATGGGTCTCATTCGCCTAACCCTGAAAGAGCCTTGAATATGGCACTTTTTAAAATCTCAGGACTAGGATGAAGGAGAGGTTACTGCGGCCTGCTTGAGGCAATCGACAAACAACAGGATGATCGTGATCGCTCTGTTCAGTGTACCTTCCTAGAAATACTTTGAAATTACTTTTTAAATAGCTATGGGTAATATAAAATGTGTTCCAAAAGTAGATTTCACAGAAAACTAAGAGCACTTTTTATTAGTTTGGTACAATTTGCAATTTTTTTTTATTATGGATATTTCATCTTTTCCTTTCTTCTCTCTTCAGGAAAATGATCAACTTTACCCTTTTGTTTTCAGGAAAGATGTGGCAGGTAGGAAGCAGCAGTGCCTTTGAGAGTCTCCATGTCCTTTGTTCCCAAATCTGCAACTCTTGATGATTTAAGGAATTCACTTACAGACAAGGACTCAATATCCACTCCCACTCCAATAATTAAAAGATTTCTTTTTTTTTTTTTTCTCTCTTTGGGTCACACCCAGCGATGCACAGGGGTTACTCCTGGCTTTACACTCAGGAATTACTCCTGGCAATGCTCAAGGGACCATATGGGATGCTGGGAACAGAACCCAGGTCGGCCGCATGCAAGGCAAACGCCCTACTGGCTCTGCTATCACTCCAGCCCCTTGAGGACTTGTCTTCTTAAGAGAACAGTTCTCAACCAGTGTTTTTGACTTTGCTTCATGTGTTTTTACCATAAAGTGCTTCCTGAACCACCCAACCACTGACCACCTAACTTGGCTGTTCAGTTACTAAAGTGTAAGTCACTTATTAGTGGATTAATCACTTATTAATCCATCTAATTATGACAATTGATGGAGAAACAGAAATGTGAACAGTGAGAAGTAGCAGAGGAGAAAATTATGTAAGAGTTAGAAATAATAAACATCTAACAAAGGGGGCATCATTTGAATTTCTGAATCCCCACATTCTATCTTACATTTTGTTTTGTGTGTTGTGTGTTGTATGCTGTGTTGTATGTTTTATTTTGTGTC